CACGGGGGCAATGCACTCCCCTCGCCGCCATCTTCTCACAGAACTTGATAGGTTTTTATAAGCAAAGATTTCCAAACCACAGATTCCTTGAAGAGGAGACACAAGAGCCCTCCTGAAGAGTAATGAAGCTCTCCAGCTTTGAGGGTTAGTTAACAACTTAGTGAACTGGACAAATTGACTCCTTCCAAGGTCTACTATGCCATTAAATCCAAAAAACAAAAAGAAGAAGGATCTAAGCCCCATCTCTGAGGACCTAAGAGACATTAGAAATGACAAAGGAGGATATAAACTGACATTATTTTCAAGATAATTAGACTTATCTGAATACTGTAAATTTCGCCATTGCTGGACTCTGGCACAGGTAGGAGCTTGGCAATTTTGGGTTGGCTAGGATGGAGATGACGTCAGTTGCCCAAGTGAAAGAGTTATTAGAAAGAGCTCAAAGATAGAACTTTCCTGAGTAAGCCCACCTTGAGATAAGAGGGCCACACCTTTATTCTGCACACCGATCACTCATTAGATGAGGGCTGCTCAGGAGAGAAGATATAATCCTTGGTGAGATAGCAATCTTAGAATGAAAGTATAATTTCAGGAGAGCAATTTAGTTGAGGGTTTCTGCCACCCACTCTCTGAGCAGCTGGGAGAATGAGCCTCTGTCCTAAAGGATGATTCTGACAAGCCCACCAGAGCATCCACTAGAGGAGCTAACTCAACTATACTAGGTAGCCCCATCACAGAGTCCCTAGCTGTGCCAGGGGGCCCAGTCTGAAAGTCTGAATCCATCAGTGAGAGATACTAGGTTGATTCTAACAAGATAGCAATTACGAACTGGTCTGGAGCAGTGTTCCTTTAAGAACAGAGATGCAGGGATTGGGAATCTGGTGATTGGGAAGAAGGGAAGGCAGGAACTAGTTGGAGCCCCACTCCTAGATGGACTTGAGGGATAGCAAGCAGTCTTCAGGATAAGGAGTCAAGGCAAATGCAAGCACCAACATGGCATGGGCCATGCCCAGGGCTTCGTCAGAGTCATAATCAAATACAAGACTCCCCAGATGAGAGGGTGAGGTGACTTCATTTCAATCCTAAGGAGTAGAGACTGCTTCTACTTTAATCCACAAATGGAAGGGTTGAGGACCTGCAGATGGGATTAATGAGTAGCTGGATATTTCAGAGGTTATGACACTAAGGCAGCCTTAATCATCCCATCTAAGTATTTGTTTTTTTGTTTTGGGGGATTGGTACCAGAGAGTAAATTTAGGGGGCACTCGACCACTGAGCCACATCCCCAGCCCTATTTTATGTTTTATTTAGAGACAGGGTCTCACTGAGTTGCTTAGCACCTCACTATTGCTAAGGCTGGCTTTGAACTCATGATCCTTCTGTCTCAGGCCCTAGAGCCACTGGGATTACAGGTGTGCACCACCATGCCTGGCTCACAGTAACTCTAAATAGTGTTGATTATTACTAACATAATCCACTAGTGAGGTTAGAACCCTCATGACCAATCAACATCCACCTTTGAACACTGCTGTAATTGGGGATCAAGCCTTCAAAACGTGAGCTTTTTTTTTTTTTTTTTGGTGGTGGGGAGGGTCATTCCAGATCCAAATTATAATAGTCTTCCTCTGTTTTAATTATTTATTTTATCCCCTTCTCCCACTTCTGTTCCTCAACTCACCATAGACAACCAATCCTAACATATGTTCATGTGTTTTATTTTAAAATTTCTAAGGTCTTGTGTGTAGGTAGTTTAATTCTGCAAATAGTGTTATGTATATCAAATTAGTTGTTTCTCTCACTCCCATGATTCTAAGATTCACCCAAGCTGTTCTGTGTGCCTTCAGCTTCCGAGTGTTCATCTACTTGGTTAGGTATGTACTGTGTACATTGTACCTGCATCCTTACCCAGGAATGGACACCTAACTCCCAATGCCACAATGTGGTCAAGAAAATTCTTGTATAGGTCTCCTTAGGTATCAGTTTAAAAATTTCTCTGGGATGTAAACAGGAATGGAATTGTGGGGTTATTTAGATAATTGTTCACATTGCTAAAAGTTTCTGGCATCTTAGGAAGAATAATAGAGGCATCCATCAGAGAAGGAAGCACCTACACAGGGTGTAAATTGCAATGGCCCTTAACAAATCACATCTGGACTAGAGGAATCACTTTTCATGTTCAATAGCACAGTGGGTTAACTATGGTTGACAATAATTCATTTAATATTTCAAAACAGTTAATAGAGAGGATTTCAAACATACCTGTCTGAGGTGATAGATATGCCAATTACTCTGATCTGGTCATTACACATTGTACAGGTGTGTTGAAATGTCACCCTCTACTCCATAAATATTGAAATTGCTACATGTTAATTTAAAATAAAATACATTTTTAAAAACACAAGGCAATTCAGGTTACACCATGAACAAATTTAAATATAGGAAACAATACTTAATGCTGAGGTATTGCTCCAACTGAAGACAAATCAAAAATGGAAACAAGACTTCTTGAAATAAAAGTATTAAGCAATGGGAAAAATGTTTTGAATTCACAGAATCATATTCTCCATGGTGCCTCCTAGGAACACATCTGCTGTGAAAAGCACATGTACCTGCCTCACCCCGCTTCTCTCCCCACTCTCTGGCCCCAGGCCTCTTTCTGCACCCAGCCACATCCTCAGAGATGTCTGTTGTTTTATCAGTGTCCCTTTTTAGGTGGGGAGCTGCCTTTCCCACTCTGCAGCGTGGACATCAACTCTACAAAATTTCATCTTGCACCAGGGCTGTTCAATAGTCACTGGGGACAGCCAGTGCATGATCTATAGCTTCTCTCACTTCTGTCCGACCTTTGCTCCTCTTCCTTCATCCATACATCAATCAAGAGCTCAGGCAACCCCCTGGCGAATCTAAACCAAACTGTTCTTCTGGGAGCAGCAAGCTCCCATTTAGGGAAACAGGCCGCCTGTTGAGAGGTGCAGGCTTCTGGGCTCCATTTACATGAATAAACACCTCTGAAGGGTTTGGTTGAAGCTTTTATGTAAACACTCTCCAAAATATGTTCTGCACTGCATTATCCCCAGCAATAAAGATTCTGGAATCAGAATTTGGCTGTCAGTTTTATTGATGTTGCATGGGGTACAGTAGAATACAACTTTCTCTTCTGGAAATTTATTGGCTTGGCAGTGCAGAAAGCAATAAAACTGTGTTTTTAATCAGTAAGCCAAGCAGACATGATTCCAGAAGAAATATAGGAAGCAAACATGCCATGGCAAGAAGATTTCTCCCTCCACTATCCCTGTTCTTCTCAGATCCCCTGTTAAATAATTTGGGGGTTTAAATAATGTGCTTGGTGGGACAGTCATCAGGAACAGAATCAGAGGACCAGTTTGGATTCCTCTAGGCTGTATCATCTCTAAGAAACTGTTGAATGAAAGCACTCTTCTGAAATCTGTAAAACTCCTCTGTATTAGCTCCAAGAGAGGAACTGCTGGTAAGCTGCTTTGAGAGAGAAACAGAGTGTGACATGCTTCCTTTCAAGAGAAGCAAGGATGGAGTGCTTGTCCTTCCACCTTACTCACCAAGAGACAATGGGTTAGGAATCACTTGCTTCATTTATCCCAGTACTGCACATTGGAAAAGGCATTCAGAGTCAGTCTGCTTGGTTGTTACCTTGTCCACAGTTCCTAATTTCTTTCTGACCCAATTTCTTCTGCTATCAAAATGGAAATACCCCTTCACACCATTGTTGCATGAATAAAATAAAGTTATAAGTGGGTGTGTGTAACAGAATTACAATGTAGCAAGTTCCTTCTAATGCCTCACTGATTGATATTTGCTCATCATAGAGGACTTGTTTCTTCTTGAAAGCTAAGACAGTCCCTGCTGTGTAGACATCTAGAAAAAATGAGGCAGCATCTCCCCACTCTGTTCTCATATACCTATTAGTCACTTGATTTCCATTTGAAATGACCTGATCCATTCCCTTCCTCTTTGCCATTCCTGAGGCTAAAATCTTGAACCACTGGAGATGCTCAATAAATGGTTGAATGTTCATCTCTAACTTGCGGAAGCTTTCTTATACACCATCTTAACCTCAAGATCCTTTAACCTTTCCATATCATCCTGAACTGGTTTTCCTGTTGCCAACTGTAGCTCTTTTCTCAACTCCTATATCTTGTACAGCTTTCACCTCAATTTTATGAATACTCAAGTTGTTCCTGTAGATGTTAGTGCCTGAAGGAAATACTCTCATAGACATTCTCCCAAATGATGTGAAATGCCCATGTGAATAAAACCATAGGAGCAGAGTGGTCTGGTTGGGACTATATTGAAATGGCTGCCTGAGGAAGATAGGATAGGTGGAAAGAGGCCATTACTTAGGGAATTTTCCCTTCTCCTACTTGCATGGTTCCCAATTGTATTTTCATCATTCATTTCTCCACTGTATCCAAAAAAAAAAAAAAAAGCTTCTTATTTCATCCTCCCAATCAGGCCTACAGGACCACTCTAAAGCCATTTATTAACTATTTACTTGGTGCGAGCCTTGACTTTACAGAGGTAATCTTGATTAATTACTACAACAATCCTGTGTGATAGGAATTACTATTCCAATTTTGTTGATGACAAAAGAAACAGAGGGCTTAAAGAACATGCTCAGGGTCACATAATCAGGAGGTGAGACAATGGAGATTTGATCCCAGATGCATCTAATCCCAATGTTCATGACCGTAACCACCCAATTACATATGTTTTGATAAAGACCAAGAATAAGTCATGCATTAAAGATGAAAAAAAAATAAGTCATGGTATATCTCCTTATTGATATGTTAGAATACTCAACCTGCATCCAGTTGTTGTTACCTCTGTAGTCTCTCTCTCTCTCTCTCTCTCTCTCTCTCTCTCTCACACACACACACACACACACACACACACTTTATTTATAAACTTAAAAGGAACCCAGTCTCGAAAACTTAAACTCTTGGCTTTTCGTTTTCCTTTTCTAGATCACTCACTTATCTCCCTGTCAAAGTCATCCCATCTCAAGCTTTCAGAGGACTTAATGAGGTCGTAAAAATGTAAGTAAGATATTGCATATTAAAAGACATTCATAATCAAAGTAATGAATTTTCTTCTAAAAAACACAACTGAAAAAGAATAATTTTTCTAGGAGAGAAACAGTGTTTAGGACACCCAAGTATTTTTATCTTCAGAATACAAATAATATCTAGGGGCCTTTGAAGAAAAGGTATGATTTTCAAGAGTCATTAAAATCCAGATAATTAACCTTGGTTCAAAGAATTGAATGCATTTTGATAAGTGATGATACACTTTTTAAGTAAAAAACAAGATATATTTCAATCATAAAAATTCTTCTACTAGAACAGCTATTCCCTTGTGTCACATTTTTAGATAACTCCCACACAGAAGAAAATGTGTTGGAAGTTTATTGTGCATCAGAAGATAATCTTTGTATCTAAAATATAATAAGTGTATGACAAAAACACAGTATTTATAGATTTATTGATGAAAGGCATTTATCAGAAGTGTAAAGCAGCCTGATAATGCAGTATGATCTCATGTCTGTCAGATGTAAGTTCAATCATTTGTCCCTGGGTTTTTTCAGCTTCCAGAGTCAAAGACTCCATACATAAAGAGAACATTTTCTCAGGAGAAAGAACTTTCCAGCATCCTCCTTAATGCTAACCTGAATCAAAGGATGGTTATTTTTTTCTTATAGGGCATCTCTAACATTAACAATCCACTGGACTTTCAGGCAGATTTACATCTCGAAAGAAGACACTATACTGTTAAGCCTAGCTCCTTGGAGAAACTCTGCTGCTCTTTAGGGTGTTTAATATTATCATTATTAAGTTATTAAAATTCTATACTGAAAAGAAGCAATAAGACTATTAAACTAAGAATATTAAAATATGCTCAAGAATTGTGCATCTTATAGTGTATTTGCTGCTGGTTACAGACATGTCAGTTGACTAGAGCCTAACCCATGTTCTTCTGACTGCTCTCAAGTTTAAATGTTGAGTTTTGATAACTTTCAATGCATTAAGACCTCCTACTAAGAAAAGCAGCCACACAGTTAAGTAAGCAAACATTAGGTAGGAATAAGATGAATCAGCCCAGGCAATCCATTACTGTGTTGTTCAGAAAAGACATTAACAGCCTTAGGCTCTGCCTTTCTATGAGTTAAAGCTCTCATCAAGTCTGAAGCGTTCGGTAAGCATTAACCTTAGAAATACACAAATGTACAATTTGTGAATTTGAGACTTTTATCTCAGCTGGCAGCAAATAGTGGCTCATGTTGGGATTTTGGATAACACTGACATTACTGACATACTTAGGGATAGCAAAGATGGTTGCTTTATGTTTGTGTGTTTTTAAAAAGTCAGTTTATTCACTAGTCCATTCATTTATTCATTCATTCTCTAACTATGCACCAGGCAATATAAAGCCACCAGGGATTCAGAAGGAAATAAAAATTTTTATGTTCTTGATTGGCTCAAGAATAAGAAAAACAGTCAAGGAAAAGGATAATTACAATCTATGATGGATGCCACGTGCAGAGGTTAACCATTACAATAGCCTCAGGAGAGTGTTTTGGGAAATCAAGGGTTAAGAGTTATTAAACAGCAGGTTGTGGTGATGCATGCCTGTCATCCCAGTTGCCCAGGAGGCTGAGGCAGGAGGATTATGAGTTTAATACCAGCCTCAGAAACTTTGTGAGGCCCCAAGCAACTCAGTGAGACCCTGTCTCTAAATAAAATATAAAAAAGGGCTGGGGATATGGCTTAGTGGTTAAGCACTCCTGGGTTCAATCCCCAGAACCAAAAAAAAGTTAGGAAGCAACTAATTTAGACCAAATTAAAGCTTCAATACAGTGATGGAATCGGGACCCAAGTGTTCCTAATCTTAATCTTGAGACTTCACAAAAATATGATTTGCCTCTCCTCTCAGGGACTCAATTTCCAAAACAAGAGAGTCTGGTTAGATTTTCTCAAGAACTGTGCATCTTTCTCAAAGGACTTATCTACTTCTAACAAATCTGTGATTCCAAGTCACAGATAAACAAGAGAAAAGCCTGTCATATAAATGGGAGTTACTGAAACTTACATTTCAACTGCACCTGGGTTGTAGACACCCATGGGTGCTCCTAAAGGGAGATGTTAGTATTTCGTGATGTAAGCAGAACTCACACATTCTGTTGTTTTCCAGAGGGACACAATGCAGCACCTAGTTGTTGGGTCACACACACACCCCTCTTTATTATGTAGACATAGTCATTTCTTTCACGCTTCTTTTTTTATTTTATTTTTTCTCCCCTAGAGAAATCTCTCAGAGTGATTCCCTGGAAAGGATAGAAGCTAATGCCTTTGACAACCTCCTCAATTTGTCTGAAATGTAAGCATCAGCTAACAGATAGTTTATTGCTGTACACTATTACCCTTGCTGGCTGGAGCCCACTTGGTATTTGTATTCAAGCATCTACTGCTAGGAATCCAAGAGGAAAAGACTCAGCAATTACTAGGTCTGGGCAGGCACTAATTTCTCTCACTGCAGTGGCCTGAAGGTTGCCATAGTGACAACTGCTTCTCCCTAGGAGCTATATAAACCCTGAAACATCACAACACACTGTTAGAAATTAAAATTGACATTGTGAAGTTCTGCCAAGTAGCTCTTGCCTTAGGGAAGGGAGGGTATGGAGTACTTGGGGTAGTTGAAAATTTTGGAAAGGAGCTTAGAGATCATGAAGTGGTTCATTGGGGGCTGTTCTGGCATATTCTTTGTGTCAGTAAAATGCTTCTTGAATACCTACCATGAAAAGCCCCATATTGAGCCCCTGTGTGTTGGACATGCTGTATTTTGTTGGTGTTTTGGAATTCACTTTTTAAAGTAACCCCTTCCAATTCATCATTTTCTCTTAATTCCAAAAAGAGGATGGGAAAAGTCCAACTCAATTGAGTTTTCACATGATGCATCTGTGACCCAAAGAGGTCAACTAACTCACCTGATGTCACACAGCAAGTTGTACCAGAGGTGGACTAGAAACCAGGTCAGATGACTTTGAAACCAGACCTCTTACCACTGCCATATGTGGTTCCGACCCAAGCAAAGATCCCTCAGTCTCCCCTGCTTAGGAGTATCAAAAGTACAAGAAAGGGAAGTGTGGCAGCATGGGATATTTTTTGAACTCTACTGTTTGGCATTTCCTCTAGGTTGTGTCACTAATCCTCACAGCCACCTTGCAGAGTGGGATAATTATCCCTTTTGCCCAAAGAAAGGAATGGAAGCTGGGAAAAGTGCCACAACTTGACCAGTGTGAAACTTTAGACAATGGCAGGACTGGGATTCAATTCTGAGCCTATCTTTTTCAAAGCTCATGTATTTTCCACTAGGTATAGTGGAAAGGTCTCCACTGTAAATGCTCCAGTGAATAACTATCTAAAAAGAATAATTAACCAATAAGTATATGAGTACCCACCATGTGTCCAGTTCTGAGCCAAGCACCACTGGAATGCAAAGGAGATAAAATACAAATATCCACTAGGAGATGATAGAGTAGCCAGAGTGGTGAGACTAACTCACCAAATTATTACAGAAAAATCCAAAATAATGAGTATTTTAGTGCAAACAAAAATGTCTAGACTTGGCTTTGAAGCCGAATTGTGCATAGAGCCCATTATAGTTGTGCTCTCCCAGACCTAGAGATCTGCAGTTTTAACAAACTTCCCAGGTAATGCTGAAGCACATACTATATTGAGAACTACCAGGGAAGCTAATGATAATGAAGCCTCCAGTGATGTAAAGCAACATTTATCAACACAAAGAAAAATAAAGAACACTAAAGGGAATATTTATCGATTCCCAATGAAGTCCCTGACACTAGAATGCCAGCTCAATGAAGACTCTTTTTGCATTTTCACAATTGTATCCCCAGTATCTAGGACAGTTCTTGGAACATGTAGTCATTCAGTAAATGTACATTGAGTGAATTAATATATGAACAAATGGTCTAAGGTAAGACCCCCAGAGATCTTTAAGAGGTAAAAAGCCTCTTCCATCTCACCCATATAATGCCCTGTGGCCCATGATTACTTGAGTTGGTTGTTGAAAAAATAATTACCACAAAATATCACTCACACTGAAGAATCAGATGCCTATTTCCATCTTTTATTTGCAAATATATACCAGTTATAGGAAACCATAGCACTAGACTTGGAGTCATAAAAATGGGGTCACACTCAAGTTCTGCTACTTTTCAGCTGTGTGACTGGAAAGAAATCATTCAACTTCCTAATTTCAATTCTAACAATCATTATTAACACCTGATAAGGCCTTGCTGTGAACTAGACACCCACATTTAGTCTTCCTCAAAAACTATCCTATGAGAAAACATCCAAGTTCATATGATTTGTAAAATCAGGATTAAAAAAAAACCAACTGGTAGCCGGGTGCGGTGGAGCACACCTATAATCCCAGCAGCTCCAGAGGCTGAGGCAGGAGGATTGCAAGTTAAAAGCCAGCCTCAGCAAAAGCAAGGTATTAAGCAATTCAGTGAGACCCTGTCTCTAAATAAGTTTTTTAAAAAAATGGCTAGGGATGTGACTCAGTGGTCAAGTGCCCCCGAGTTCAATCCCCAGTACCCTCCATCCCCCCGCAAATAAAACCAACTGATCTCACAGTGCATATTCCTAAACTATATACTATATTTCTCTGTATAACAAAGGTGATTACCATGTCCTTAGGTTGTTATTACCTGGGACAAGAAAGCAGCACATATTTACAGGCTTTTTATTGAATCCAAAGTAGGCAGTACTCAACAATTGTGGCTACTTCTTACAGGGTCACAGTAATTGATGGAATGGGGGGGGGGAGGCAATAACACCATTGTAGTATCATAGCTCAAATTATCTGTCTCAAATTATCTCAACCTATTCTATTACTCAAAACCCACCAACCTATGAGACGGGAAGAAGACATAATATTATTATTCCAATTTTGCAGAAGCAAACACTAGCTAAGGGAAGTTAAGATGGGCATCATCACACAGCAAATTATCTATACACTATGCCTAAGTTTCCAAAAATCCAAACCCCTAGCCTCTACTCTGTGCTGTTGCATAGACTGGGTGCCCATCTGGATAATTGCTCAGTGTGGTTGCCAGTTCAATATGAAGAGGACTAATTTGCCTGCAGAGGAGAGTAACTAATTTGTTCTCTCCTGAGTGCAGAATCTCTCACCAACCAGCTCCACAATGGGACAGGATCTCCTTGGCCAGGAGCTCTGGATGTCAGAGCTATTTGATGGGGAGCAAGAAGGGCGGGTAGAGATGTACAGCTATGATACCTACACCTGCCTCTTCAAAAGGTTTGAGCCAAGCTCCCTCAAAATAACCAATAGGTCCTCAGCAAACCATTTCCATCTCCAAAGTCTCGGGAGCTCCTCTCAAGCACATGAATTTGCTTGATTTTGTTGATTCCATTTTCAGGCAGCAACCTCTGGTGACCACAGCCTCATGCATTCCAAACAATACCCATCAATTAAACTGCTTCCTATTTCCCCCTCTCTTTACAGATTGATCCAGAACACCAAAAACCTGGTACACATTGAGCCTGGTGCATTTACAAATCTTCCCCGGTTAAAATACCTGTGAGAAATTTTCCTTTTTAACCATTTGGGAAGGGGAAGATCGGCATCTGATGAAAACCAAAATAATTAAAAGGCTGAGAAATATTTTTTAAAACCATCTACTTGGCATTGTTTGCATGTTCCTCCTCTTTAGCTCTCTGATTTAAACTTAATCGACATTTCTTATTGGCTGCCATGCTGGGTTCTTCTGCATACATGGAAGTGGTTCCCAGCATTTTTTGTGTCCCAAACACCTGAGAAGAACATCACTCTTTGCTGTGACTTTCAGAGCTGACCCTGGGAAGGGAGCGGGGGTCACAATATTCCAAAAAGGGTACATCAGAATCTCTAAGGTGAGCAGATAGTAGATGAAAGTGGGAGAGGCAATTCTGATTTGGCCATAGTTGCTGGTTGAGAATTGTGTATCTCCTTTATCTCATTTGTTCATTCATTTGTCAAGTGAAAACTTCTTAAGTACTGCCTTCATGTACTGAGAGAAATAAACTAAATAATCTTTTTTTTTCCCATTAAATCATACCAACACTACTGGTTAGCATGACAAATTGAGTACAACTGTAGCCCAACAGCAATTGTCCTTGCCAAAATTCCTGAAAATTGATACAATCTATAAATTGATCAATAGCAGAGCTTCTCACCTATCAAGTCCTCCCTACTCACGCAGAAAAATTTAAGTCCTCCTAGTTTAGATAATTCTCTCTTCTTTTTTAAAAAATTAAATTTCATAAACACCCCAATCCACTTCCCATCACTACCTTAAAAAAGAAAAACAAAGGGGCAGGGAAGGAACATCACTCTGGTGATCCACATCATCATCTTGCTCCCAGGCCTCCTGCAGGAGGTGCTGATAGAACTGGCACAGCTCTTCGGCAACTCTAACATTGGACAATTCCAAACCCTGGTGTTCTGCTTTTCCCAATCTTCAGGAGACCTAGAGGCATGTGAGCATCCTGCAGTATCAATCACTTTGAAAAAACATAAGAATAACAAAGAACCAAATTTGACCACTACTGCCCCTTATTATCCAAGAGTCATTATCTATTAAATAGTATTTTCACCCAAAAATATGATGTTCCCCCAACCCAAACCCTCTTGCCCAAACTAAGCCCAAGCTGCTGTCTCCAGCCACAGACAGGGCATGGATTCTCATTCATCCATTCAAGAGAGTTATGAGTAAAGAGGAGACCCACAGCCAGAAGGGAAACCTGGCTTTGTTCCATTGTCACCAGGGTACCAGAAAGTTCCTATCAGTTGTCCAGGTCTGGTGAATTTAAAACTTAGTTGGGGGAAATCCAACTGTCTGGATGCCTCTGAAGGAGTCCATTCTTATAATAAAAAGTTCAATTTTACCTGTCACTTAAGCCTCTCTCTTCTTTGGAGGTTAAATAAAAGACTGGAGGAAAAGAAGAGGATCCTTGAGTAGCTCCAGACACCACAAGAATGTACAATGGTTTCAATGAGGTACAAGAAAGGTAGATAAATAAAGGAAGGTTTTTAATAATGAGGAAGATGAATTTCTCACATGAGATGAATCTTCCTGAAGTGTTTGAGTTAAAACCTGCTCCAAAAGAGAGGGATGCTTTCTATAACTATCAAGAGCACAGAATAAGCTAATTACCAGAAGGAAACAGAATGTAATACAATAGGAAAATACAATTGATCTAATGTGAAAAGACAGGTTGAAAATACAAATGGAAAAGACCTGAAAGCTTAGTTCCAACTCCTAGATCTCTAAATAGGAGTGATTAGAACAACTTCTCCAGAGCAGTAGGGGCCTTTGAATTTTTACGGTCTTCATCATGATACTGATAAAGCCAAATTCAATGTTTTTATTTAAAGTGAAAATAGCATTTGCAAAGTGCCTTTCTACACCTTTTTGTCTTTATGCCTTAATGACAATCACTTTTACCCACTCTCTGCCCACATCACCATCCTGCCCTGAATCATAGGAGCATCTGTAACACAGGCATTCGAATGCTTCCAGATGTTACGAAGATCTTCTCCTCCGAATTTAATTTCATTCTGTAAGTACCCGGCTGATTGCTATGCATAACAGTTTCCTATTTGCAGCTAAAATTTGGAAAGTAAATATTTCTCATTTATTTCCTCAAGGGAAATTTGTGATAACTTGTACATAACCACCATACCAGGAAATGCTTTTCAAGGGATGAATAACGAATCCATAACACTGTGAGTAAACTCCCAGAAACTCATTCTGCCACACAGCCTCCTGCTATTCTTACTTCTGGCTTGAGGTGAGCTCTTTCTCATGTTTTAACACCTTCTTCACCAACTGTTGACATCCTTCTCAACCTAAAATGCCAAGGGTTGGGGGAGTGATATGGGATCACTGTTGGGTTATATATTCACAGGACAACTAATCACTCAATTCAGTTTAAAATCAATCAAATAGGCCCGAAAGATTTTCAGTACTAAATTTCCAGGTGATAAAATTGTTCAGTGAATCAGTGGAATGCTTTGAGGCTTGGAGAACACAGCCTAGAGGGTTATGGCTAAAGAAAACACATGGTTAAAGAAACACAGGAATTTCAAGGTTTCAACTGAGCAAAGTTTGGAAGGACACTCTCCAAGTAGGTAGAGTAGTTCATCAATGGACTTTGTTCTCTCCCTCTGATTTTTCACTTACCCCTTGGATCTCTCTCACTTTATGTTTGAAGTAACACCATCAATGCCCATTTCCTCCATTCCATGATACTTAAAAATTATGACATTTCATTTGACAGTCACTCTTAGGTTACTAAGCTCACAAGCCCTGTCCTTTTCATTATGTTTCCTAAGGACCTGCCATTTAAAGAATCATCCATGAACTGGCATCTTCAGCATCATCTGAGAGCTGGTTAGAAATTCAGACTCTAAGATCCGTGCAGACCCACTGATTTAAAATTTGCATTTTCACAGGATCCCAAGAAATTTACATGTAATCATAATTTGAAGGGCACTGTACTCAGTGCCCATACCCTTTACAATGCACCAGAGTGACTTCCTTCACTCTAGAACACTGCCATCCCTCTTCACATGGATACTCTCCCTTACCCACCACTCAGAAGCAGCGTCCTAAGCACCATGTCTCATTTATCCAAAGTCCAGTGACACATATTCATTTCTGCTCCCCACATGCACATCCCTCTCACTCTTTCCACCTTAGTTACAGCCCATGGTGGGATTGTGATGAGGCAATAAATAAGCTCAGGGTGGAGGGTAGAAAATATGGATTGGAATGACCCTGGAGTAAAGAGAAAGACGAAAGCAAGAGGAAAGATCATCTTAACTCCCTTTTATAGCAATGGATCCTAAAAATTGGTATCAATGGCACACTGCATTTGTATAATACTTTTACTTTATGTGGATATAATTTTACACATATAATTGCCATGTTACAAAACTGTGACTAACATAGCCCCAGCTCAGACTGCAATCAAAAGGATACAGAGCAACAACCAAACTAATTTTAAAATAACTCAAATTCTTTACTAGCAACTCTTGAACACTGGGAAGGAGACTCTGTAGATCCCAGAAATACTTTTCTATAATCTTTCAGTTCCTGCCACTTCCCTCACACACTATGGCTCTGGCAGCTGTGTATAAATTGTTTCCAACCCACCATTGCATAACAGATTTGTAACTATATATCATGTCCCCACATCCCCTGTTTCCACAGGGTATTCACAGCATGAACTCTGAGTGAGGAGACACCACATAGCTTACGACTTTTGAGTCTCACAATGCCTTTAGTGAGAACACAAAAGATACGACAATATTCATGTTAAGAAGCTTATAAACTCAATGAGGGTAGGAGACATGAAATAACAAAGGAATAATACAAGCCAGTAGATATTCCCCTCCAAGTGTGTGGTATGCAGAAATAAGGTCTCAGAGAATTCCTCTTGGGTTGGAGAACTCCAAGGAGGCTACATGGTGAAGCTGAGACTTGAATTGTACCTCACAGATTCAGTAGTATTTGTATGGGTAAATGTATTAAGAGCAGCTAATATTTAGACAGCATTATTAAATGCCTGGACTGTTTTAAGTACCTTTTAAAACTCATTTAAGTTCCACAGCAACCTTATATGGTAAGGTTCAGCTCCACTTTTAGACAAGGAAACCAAGGCATGAAGGGCTTAATTATTTATCCAAGGCCAAGATTTGGACCCAGGCAATCTGGCTCCAGAGGGCATGTTCTTAACCATTATTTGGTATCAAAATAGAGATGGGGTAGTGAGGAAACAGCAAGAGCAAGAGCATGGCCAGGATGAGGCTCACACCTCGGAGTGAACATCCTGTCTAAGAAATGAAAGATGTTTCCAGATAAATGGCTAGGGTGGAGGGGACACTGGATTGCAGGGGTTTTGAATGCAAAGATAAAGGGGACAAGGCTTGGAAGAAACTCTGAAAAAAACTAAGAAGAAACCATGTACTAGAGTAGCTTTTATGCAAAGATCAAAATATTCAAGACTTTCATCAATTTTATCCTTAATAATCAAGAACCAATAGGTAAATGTGCAGGAATGGGAGTGGAGTGGAATGAAAGGGCAGAGGCATGAGGGGCACACTGGTATAATCCACAGGGAACTATGAGCTCCAAGATAGGGCCACCCCACCAAACTGAAGAGAAACCAAAGCTTCCTTTCAGACACCACATTCTAGTATGTATGCATACGAGCTGCATGGTATTCTTTTTACAGGGACATTAACTTGTGTTGGTTATGAGTTTAAGAGGAATAGTACCTGCCAGTCGGGTGTAATTGCCCCACCTCTGAAGTTAATGAGGACTTCAAATTCATCTCTCCCAGAGGGCCTGTGAGGAACTGTGCTTCCAACCCCCTCCTCAGTCTTGGCACTTCATCTGGAAGGGGAGTGATTAGTCATTTGCTTGGCACTTATTCTCAGCTGAATGGGCCCTTCTGTGAGTGAAGGATCATGTGGAGCACCCTGCTGGATAAAGGGTATTACACTTAAAGAGGAAAGCTTTATTTTCCCAGCTATAAAGTTCAACTCCTTAATTAGAAAATAATGAAAGCAAGCCTTCTCTTTTCATTATTAGTAGTATTTGAAATTTTGCTTTTAGTGGAACCTGTCCTGCCCTCACCCCACCTAAATCTTTACCAACTGTGAGCTCATTTAATGAAAACAAAACACTTTACTTGATGCAGGAGAAGCTCAGTGGGGCTAATGCTAAAACTATGCATTATACTCTTATGTCCCTTTATAGCCACTTTGGCTTTTCATTAAATCTCCTCAAGAGGCCACCTTGAAATCGACCCCCACCCCCACCCCACTGCAAATGAGCAGCACTTAGCTGCACCACCTTTAAAATATTCTGGATGATTGGTGATACCAGTCTCAAAAAAGAGGCAACCTTTATTCACATCTGAAATCTAATAAGACAAGGGAAGGTCATGGCGATTTTTTTTCTAAGATCCTTTGGAGAAGGAGTATCTGGTAAAGCATAGCAAGATTCCTGGCTGCACCCATGATGAAGCCTTAGCAGAGAGGCTGCTGGGTGTTGAAATAAAAGGCTACATTTTAGTCCCAGCTTTGTGCCTTACCATCAAGCATGCTTAGCCAAGTCAGGCCACCTCTACATGCCTCCCTCTCTGTCTATTCAATGATATTGTGAATGCATCCTTATGCAGATCCAATTATTATAATTAACTAGTTAAAGGCTAATATGCAGTAACCCACAGCAGGTTAGTTATTTTAGATCATACTGAAAACACTGTATCTCATCATCTCCTTTTGAATATTTTTTATGTAAAAATTTTTTAACTTGGGCTGGGGAGGTGGCTCAAGCAGTAATGCGCTTGCCTGGCATGCGCGGGGCACTGGGTTCGATCCTCAGCACCACATAAAAATAAAATAAAGATGTTGTGTCCACCGAAAACTAAAAAATAAATATTAAAAAAATTATCTCTTTCTCTCTCTCTCTCTCTAAAAAAAAATTTTTTTAACTGACACATGACTTTCCATTTGTCTTTCCACTAACAAATAGAACAATATGACTAACATATACCTTACCTAGAGTCATCAACTATTATATGACTTACAAGGCAAATGACTTTCCATTTGTCTTTCCACCAAGAAATAGAAAGAATGATGTGATTAACATGCCTATACACCTTACCTAGATTCATCAACTATTACCAGCTTGCCACAGCCACTCCATCTATAGATGGGAGTATATACATTTCCCTTTTGCCAAATCATCCAGGAGAAAATTATAAAGATAATGACATTTCATTCCTAAGTACTTCAGCATATATCTCCCCCCTCCACATAGTACCTTTATCCTTAAGAAAATCACTGGGAATTGAATGACATCATCCAGCCCATATTTAAGTGAAAATGTCTTGTATGGGTTTTTCAAATTTAGCATCCAAAGTTTATGCATTGCATTTTTGAGTGGACTCAGTCCTCTCAATCTCATCTCCCATACCTCTTCCACACCTAGAACTGTCCCTTTGCCTTCCTCTGTTCTATATGACACTGAACCTGTTGAGAAGCTCAGGCTGCCTCGATTCATTTGGCTGAATTGCCATGACTAGATTTAGGCTAGATATTTCTATCAGAGCACCGCAAAGGGAATGGTATGTCTCTCACTGCATCAAACCAGGAAGTCACACTGTTCCATTACTTGGCTACTTGCTTAAGATGTTGACAGCCAGACCTCTATTGTAATGACATGTTTTTCTCTTTGTCATTTAATAAGTAAATCATGATGTGATACCCTGAGTTGGTGGGATGTTCAGTTGGGTAACTATCTTTCAGCACAGTTGATTACTCAAGTTATTTCAAAGGGAGTTACAAAATGGAAATTTTTACATTCTAGTATTCCTCTATATTTATTAGCCAGTATGTCTACAAAAAAGTGACTTCCTTTGTTGTTGTTTCTGTTCCTGTCTCTCCCTTGCTCTTTCTAAATATCACTGTGGAATGTGGATTTCTCAGATAATGTATTCAATATATCAGAATTTATTACTGTCATCATTCTTTTTGATGCCTGTCACCTTCTTTATTACTATATATGGTAAAGTCATATAAGTTGGCATGAACTTGGCTGAGGTGAAGGGAAACATGAAAACTCAGTGCTGCTGAAATACAGGCAGTTGTTCCATATCAGGGAAAGGGATCCCTTGCTACAGAGACAATGACACCCACAGAAAAGGAGGCATAAAGCTAGTGTCATGGCAGCACATAGCAGTGATGGGGTAACTGTTAGCCACACAATCACTGCCAATATATCTACTAGAGAACTGTCTTCATACCTGGGGAATGCTTCAGATATAGAAGGACTTCAGTAACATGCCACATGAGGAGCTACATACAGTTATTTGATTAAAATTGGCTTACAGATATCCAAACAGAAGGCCCTTCTACAGCAGGGACACTTTTTGAGACCTCAAACACCTGCAAATATAAATTAATCCTTCTTTGAAATCATCCCCAAACTAGGTAACTACAAGATCCAAAAGAAATACAGCAGCATGTAGAAGTGCTACTCCCAGAAGTGCTTCTAGAACCCCAGGAATAATGTTTGTAATAAGACAGCATTCAGCGGCAGAATATCATCTGTGATTAATTTCTAAAGCCCAAATCTTATTTTGAATAAAAAAGATGCCATTCTCTCTGCTTGATTCACAATTACTGATATTTGAAGAGAGAACCTAGACAATGCTCACAAGCAAGGGGCTGCGATTGTGATAGAGGAGCAAGGGGGATACCTCCATTTCTATGCCCCTGACAGAATTCTCCAGGCAAAGGGAGCCCTTCTCATTTCATTCAGACACCATGAGGTCTTGGGAAAAAATTATCTGAAGTGATCTCTAGATGTTTTGAAAGAGCACTGGAGGCATTGTGCTGGCGCGATAGTGCAAGGGTTCCCATTCACATATGTAATTCATCCAGAGAGGGGAAGCCACTCTGCTCATCAAAACAAGGCAGCACATGCCATTGTGTGCCACTGGGAAGAACAGAGATGAGGAGCAGCTGAAAAGAAAGCAGTGAGCCATAGTCTTTGGAAAATTGGAACAAGCAAGACCTGGGCTATAAAAAAAGAAAGAAAGAAAAAGACATGAAAATTATCTAAATGCAAAAACATCCAAGATACTGGCTCAGACCAAAGTATCTTGAGGGCCCTCAAAGAAGGAAGACATTTAGGCAGCTCAAGCCACTGACCTAGACTGCTCTGCCCAAGAACAGAAGGGCACATACCCCAAAGGAAGAAAAGAACCATTCAATTAAACAGGTAGCTTGAAGTTCATGCAAATCCTGCCCAGAGTATGGAAAGGTAGACCCTTTCCCTATGTTCTGGTAGAGGGCTGGAGACTACTGCAAAATACAGTCATAATAAGATCAGCACATTAAGCATTTACTGTGTCCCAGAACCTATTTCTAAGTGTTCAACATATGTTTATCCCTGTAATCTTCAAAACAGCTTTATGGAGTTGATACTATTATTATCATTCCTACTTTCAGATTAAGAAACTGTGACACAGAAAGGTAAGTAAATTGCCAAAAGTTAGCTCAGTTTGTAAGTAACAGAACTGGGACTGAAGCCCAGGCAGTTGAGCTCAATGCTTGCAAACTTAACCATGAGGCCTCACTTAAAGCAATGGCATTATGAATCCACAAAAAAAGATAAGCTTATGTACCAAAACTAGGATCAGGGCAGCATGCAACAGTGAAGGGCAATGCCACTGAGACAATTGCAAGAAGCTTTGCTTTCCCCAAAACAAAGGAAGGACTACTTTTTCCTGATCCGCTAGAAATGTATCTCCATCACTTAAAAGTAGAGAAAGCAATGACTCTAGACTTGATATGGGGCAAAAGACATTCTGATTTGCACCCTGGAAATATTGAGAACCTCATCTTACCATGGTGTATTCTATGGTGAGGGTTCCCAAACTGGTATGGCTGCCACTCAGTGGGAGCATTTGTTACAAAAGTGCATATTCCTGAATACCACTACTAGACCCTGACTCAGTAGGTCTGTAGTAGCCCTGGTCAATAGGCCTGAGTCTGCATCTTTGACAAATAAGTCCAAGTGACTCTGATTCTGTGGATGGAGGAGAATGCTTTGATAAATACTGGCCTAGATTCTAAAAAATCAATTTTTTCAAAGAAGTTCATTGAAAAGACAGCTATGAATCTCTCATCTAAAAAAGATTGCTGCTGCACACAATGGTGTACATATGTAATTCCAGCAACTTGAGAGGCTGAGGCAGGAGGGTTGCCAAGTTCAAGGCAATCCTTGGCAATTTAACAAGACCTTGTCTCAAACTAAAAATTAAAATAGGCTGGGGCTGTAGCTCAGTGGTAGAGCACCCATGGGATTAATCCCCAGTACCAAATAAATGAATAAGTAAGAGGGATTGCTATAAAGGAATTCAGCCACCCCAAATGACAGGTGTTTGACAAAGAATAATATTCTAAGTATAACTTTTTTTAAGCTTCCATAGGATCTAGCTACTAAGAAGACAAGAAGGTTGTGTACAATTTCCCAAAGCAACAGGTATATATCTAGTACCTATTCTCTCAAATTCTATAATATAAAAAGTAAGGAAAAATTATCAGAAAATTTCATCTCATAATCCAGTGCAGATCATAGTTAAGAAAATAGTGTGTGAAGCTGTAAAATCAGAGAATCCTAGAAGAGAGCAGGTGAGAGCAGGGGAAACCAGGGCGGGGCAGGGGAGGGGGCTCTCTCTGCCATGGAAGGGCATAGCTATCGCTTCAGCCAGACCATGGACAGCTCCTTCCAGGTACTAGGAAGCATGTGAGGCCTCAGGTTTGTGGGTATTTGTTTTTAATTAACATGTATTAATTGTACATATTTATGGGGTACAGTGTGATATTTCAATATGTGATTGGTATATAATGTATGTGATCAAACCAGGATAATCAACATTTCCATCTCTTTATAATTTCTTTATGTTTGGAGGCTTCAAGCTCCCTTTTTTCAGCCTCTTCATTAAATATATAATGGGATTTTAAGAAATAAATAAGCTTCCTCGCTCTCTTTGAACTCAATTTAATGAGGAGGTTTTAAGAATTATTTTGTAATATCTATGTTTTCTGAATTTTTTCATTTGAATATCATACCTCAATATGAGTACCACCTCTATTTATTTGCTGATTTGTCTCAGATGTGATATGATGGGAAGAAATCAAACATATACATACACTACATATACATACACTACATATACATACATATGACATACATATACATAATACACATTCATATACAGCTCAAGGTTAAAATCTCTGTTCATTTTGTTTAATAAAGACTAGAGAAACCCCATGGACAAAAGCCACCTAGAGTAGGAGCAGGTAGAGCAGAGCATGCGTCTGAGCCATTTCTCAAGTCACTCCCCAAGTCTGTCCCTAAAATGGTCATCCAGCTGCCAACAACCCTGGAGAAGAGGCTAGACCTCGCTAGATATGGGATGCTCAAACATGTATTACATTCCAGTCGTTTCTCACCTAGGTCTTGCATCATCATTCACAAAGAACCCATACAAATATTGCATGTAAGATAGTGGCTTTACAATTTGTTTGGTTTGATCAATAGTAAGAGATTCTTCTTACATAAGCCCATTTGTTCATCCAATTCATTTAACATATACTTACTGTAATACTACAGATGCCAAGCATCTGTTATGAATGTGGAAGGTATGCTAGGTGAAAAGCAATTTAAAATCCTTTTTTTCATGAAATTTATGGTCTGGTGGGGAAGAATAAGTAAAATAGCATCATGGGTCAGATCATGAAAAGAGATGGAAGAAAAATAAATTGGGGAAGGGAGATAAAGAATTCTGGGGATGGGAGATAGGCATTTTAAATAGAGCAGCCAAAGAAGGCCACATTGAGAACATGACATTGAACTCAGCCTTGCAGGAAGACAGCAAGTGAACCTTCGGTATTTAGGGGTGGGAGGAAAAAACAATGATGTCTAATGCAAAACTGATATGTTGGAATTGGTCCCAGACAAAGTGTATTCTGGTCCCATTCCTGCCGATGGTGGAAGTCATTTTCCCTCTCTGAGCCTATTTCCTTCTTTATAAAATGAGAGAGTGTCCCTGCTCCTTGAGCCCCTCCAGGCTCCTTTCTGGTTCTAACATTTGTTAATGTCTGTGTTCTAAGGATTCTCTTATGTCTTAGTCTGGGTAGATGTGTGTGCATATATGTATGCATATGTGTTAAGTGTGTTTATATGTGTATGCCATAAAAATTCTGAAACAACATTTCATAAACATTCCTAGTCTAACTATTCGTAATACACAATAATATTTTCCATTTTGTTCTATTCTATTTCACTTTTTAAAATGCTGATAGCACTCAACTAAATTGATTTCACTGTCCACTAATGGTTCTTACAGAACTCTTTACAGATGTTTACATCTTCTTGGCTTTGGAATCAACTCTGGCATCACAAAACCACCTACTCACCCAAGAAAAAGAACAGTTGGCTCAGTGCTGGAGCTTTGCTCTGCCTTTGGCTTTCAGCAGCCCAGAGATCCCACAGCCACAAAACCAAAGGCTGAGTCTCTGGCCTCAGATCACAGCTCCACCACCGCTTCCCTTTCACAATAAGCAAGCTGCACCGCAACACTGATGCTTGGCTCTTTTTTCAGGATAAAGGAAATGATGATGAGAATTAAATCATAAAATAGGCATACAATGGCTGGTCAAGTATCTGGCACTTAATAAACACTTAATAAATTAGTGATGGCGGGGACGGAGGAGGTAGAGAGAAACCAGAGCAAAAAGAACAGCTTCTTCCCTGCAGGCCCTTAGAATCTAAAATGTTGGAGGAATCGAGCTAGATATTGTGAATGCCAGTGATTATCTCAGTAATAAATGTCACAGGAGGAAGAATGTGTGCTTCCAAACTGGGTTTCTATCAGTTCCTTCCCATTTCTAAATCCTCTCTCCTCCCTCCTTCAGCAAACTATATGGAAATGGATTTGAAGAAGTACAAAGTCATGCATTCAATGGAACGACGCTAATTTCACTGTAAGTATGTGCTTATTTCCCTAACTCATGAATAAAAATGAAATATCACTCTGGCTACCAGATCATATTCAATCTTCAGCAACTAACTCAGGGCAAAAATAAACTTTCAAGTGGCTAGTCCTCAGTGTTTTACGCATGTTACTAGGCAACCGGCTGGCTGGAAACCCCAGAGCACCCTGATTTCAAAGACAGATGCAGCCTCAATACATTGAAGTTGACAGTTTGCTGAAATATTCAACACCTTACTTGATGCCTCCTCCATCGCACAGCTTCCCCCTCTATCCCCCTCACTCAGGTTGATGGTGTGTTAGAGGCTGCATGATTTCAGAAAGAAATTCTTCCCCAGGCCTCACTGCAGAGAAATCGGGTGACATCATTTACCAGCCTAATTAGCCTCAAAAGCCCCACCCAGAAAGGCTATCTCCCTCCTACTCGGAGGGAGAAAGCCCCTGTTCCCAGGTGAGGGAGCTCACCCCACCCTAATCCCTAGCCTAATAGCCTCTAACCCAGGGAGAGTGACCCTACTCATTGTCCCCTTCTTCTCAACCTCTCTCTTTTATTTTCCCCCTGTGGTTCCTCTTCTAGAAGAGTGGCACATTCCCAATCCCATGGGGACATGTGACCCATCACAAGTACAGGATGAGGTGCCAAAAACCATACAGTTGTGCATAGTAAAACCTAAGAGCACACAAAAAGTTCAACTAAAACCAAAATTTTAGAAAAACCAACAAAAATGCTTTTTAAAGAAGTGATTCCTATAAACCATGATCTATACCATATAGGTCATATATGGTGTATACATAGATACTTCTCAAACTTGAACACACATGAGAATAACCAGCAGATTGTTAAAAAACAGAGATTCTCTGGGCCTTACCCCCAGAGGCACTGATTCAGTGGATCTAGGTAAGGTCTGGGAATTTGCAGTTTTAACTAGCTCCCAGGAGATCCCGGCACTGGCAGTTTGAAGTTAAGTAGCACAACTCTATATGAAATACTAATTATTTTATCTATAGATATTAAACCAAAGGCCCTATTATATTGATACTATACAGTTTGGTGGTTAAGAAAACAGGCCTAAGGGTCAAACTCCAACCCCACTATTTATCAGCTTTATGAAGCTGAGCAAGTTCCACAGCCCCTCTAAGCTACAGTGTACTCATTAGTAAAGTTGAGCTGCTAAGAGACTTAAGGATACCCCCAACAAAATGGAAGGTTTGCTTTGTATCCTCAGTACTTAAAATGGTGCCTGGCACATAGTGTGTCCTTTATTTAATTTTTATTATATTTTATAATCAATGATGAATAAATAATTAAATAAGATTATATTTTTATGAGGTCATATAGGATCTGGTACATACTAAGTACTAGAGAAATGGTAGCTTTTTAAAAGTTGTCCTTTCAATCATGGACTGAATCTGCCCTCATTTTCTCCTCTTGGCTTAATTTAATGAAGGGTTGATTAACAAGACCCTGGAGTTGATGAAGGGTTTACCCTGGCCAATTGAATCTGTTTCTACTAAACTCAGATCAGAGGCATGTATAGCCTCTCCTGGTCCAGTATTCTCAGATGCCTCATTCTGTCATTCACTCAACAAGGGTCTAGCAGGCATCAGCTGTGTTTGGAGGAACATGCTATATTTTGAGAAGAAATGAAGATAAATAATCACTAGGGTCTACCCCAATGGCATTTACAGCCAATGAAGAGGCATTTCCAAATGGTACATTATCTGTACACTAAGTTGTAGCTAGAACAGAAGGCAACAGTGTGGCACCTGCACTGGGAGAGGAGAGTCCCCTGGGATTTCAAAGACAGGGGAAAGGAAGTTAAAGCAAGCCTGGTCAGAGGTGGGCTTTAAGCTAGGCCTAATTGGGGCAGGCAATGAGGGTAAGCAAATGCATTCCAGGCAGAAGGCAGAAAGAATAGCCCAGAGAAAAGAAGGAAGCAGGCGATGTGTTCATAAACCACAAATAGTACTGTGTACAAAGTGGTGGACGTGAGTTAGGGTCAAAGAGGGAAGAGCCTCGATGCCAGAGTAAAGAATTTGGACTCTGTAGAAATGAGAAGCCATTGAAAGTTCTTGGATGGAAACTATGAGAAGTGGGCATAAAGAAAGTTCATGTATTAAGAGGAAGGACAGAGGCTGGAAGAGACAGGGCAGGTCTATAGACACTAATGTTGGGATTTTCTGAACAAAGAGTAACTGAAGTCCTTCGTGACTGATGTCACCTAGATGAGGGAGAAAATAAGAGGACTGAATATGCAATTAGGAGAAACAAGAGATGAGGAAGAGAAGCCAGAGCAAGAGCAAAGAGAGGTGGGAGGGAATCCAGCAGAGCACTGCTCTGGGTGTTCAGGAAAAACAGCAGGAGGAAGTATTCAGGTACTCCACAGTGTCTCAGCTGTCACAGAGGTGCCAAAATGGGAACTGTCCAATTAACTAAAAGTTTGTATCCTCCTGTACCTCATATAGCAAGAAAGAAGAAACAAAAAAATCCAGATCAGATTGCCAAGAACACAAATTAATTTTATTCATGTATTCATTCCACAGATGTTTATTAAGCACCACCAATATCTTAGACACTGTGTTAGGTGCTGAGTCTACAATTAGAGTGGACACAGTCCCTGCCTTCATGAAATTTCTTTTCTAGCAAACGAGTCAGACAAAAAGGCAAGTAAATAGATAAAGTTATTAAAAGTTGTCATATGTGCTATGAAGGAAATAACCCATTAGAAGATCTGAGAGAGTACAGAAGGTGAGTGACTTGGACAAGGTAGTTGGGGAAGGCCTCATCAAAAACATGATAATTAGGTTGAGCTCAGAGATTGACAAGGAGTCACCATGGCAATAGTGAGGAAACATATTACTGAAAGCAGAAGCAGTGTATGCAAAGGACCTGAGTTGGGAAAGAAAAGAAGCTGGCAAGTACCAAGAACTGAGAAGAAGCCCCTGTGGCTGGAGGGTCTTCAGCAAGAGGAAGATTGGAATGAGATAAACTGGAGACATTGCAGAAGCAAGTCCTGCAGGACTGACAGGCCAGCGGAAGGAGTGTGAATCTCTTCCAAGAGCAAAGATACACACTGAAGAGTTTAAACAGGACTGAGGGAGCAGTTTTCCAAACTGTGCAAACAAAATTCTTAAACCATACAGTCATACTGCTGTCATATATCATATATAACATAGTGGAATAAATTTAAAAAAAAAAAACTATATAGCCAGCCCAGTCTCTGACACCTCACTCATGTCCAGAGTTGTTTAGAGCAATGAAGGGGAAGTCTGCAACATGCTCAGACACCTACTCACTATGGGTGGCCAGGACAGAGAGGAGCAAAACCAGAAGCCCACTTCAGACACCTGCAGGAGGCTGGCAGTCAGTCCCTCCCATTCTCAGAGCACACCAGTTAGGAGGCTTTGGTGGAGCTTGTGGGTTCTCACACTGTGCCTCAAAATGGTTGCCTGTCTCTGGTTCTCACACCTGGTTAGTCATGTCACTTGGGAGAATCCTCAAAAAATGACCCCCAGGAAAATGTGCTAAATGGATTTATTTTTTGACAAAGTAACACAAGGCAGAGTTACCAGTACACAGAAAGATCCAAGTTTTAATAAAACATGTGAAATGCTCTGTCATGAAATTCAAACAATTAATTTGACCTGGCTGACATGAGGATTATCTGCTCACTGGGCTCCATTTCAACAATTTATAACTATAACTGAACATAATAAAAACAAACTGAATCAGGAAGAAGAACTGTGGAGGTTTAGGAGGGAAATTTTCTTTTGATTTAGATTTTAAACAGCAATTGACTCTGACAACCTCATCTCTTTGAAAGTGAAAGTGCACTCAGGGGATGGGAGGCTTCGAGACTGACAGGTGCATTCTGATGAAAGGCTGAGGGCTTCCGAGGAAAAGGCTGAGTAGAAGCGTGTGGAAAACCACCACCCAGAGAATGAGATGCAAGGGCTCTTGCAGTTTCTAACTGGCAGACATGATATGCAAACGTGCAGAAAGCTGGTGAAGGAGATGTAAAGTTATGAGATGAGCACTAGTGATTCCCAGTCTTTCTGCAGGGGAGGGAGTGGCTGTTCTGTCTTTGTTTTGCTGTGTCACACTATAATGATAATGCAGAAGACTCATTCCCATGGTGCAAGTCATCACACTAATAATAATGGATGCTTAAACACTGTGCCTACTATCCAGGGTTTCCAAAATGTTCTTTTAGACACAACTCTTATTGGAAAAAAAAAAATACTCAAAAGAAGGCTGGCAGGCCTGAGCCCAGGGACTCCTTTTCTAGGTCTCTTGTCCAACCAGAAAAGAGCCTGGTGCTCAGGAGACCCTCTGTGTCAGAGACTGGACAAGAGGTCTCTTGGCAGGGCCAACCTGTGCTGCTCCTCAGTAATTTAGCTTGAGCTGCTTTGAGCTATGGGGCACAGAGCCCTCGTGTAGTTACTGCCTCAGCAGTTTTGGGATTCATGCACTTTTCAGAATAGTGGCCCTTAGCACTGTTGTTTGCATAATACACACACACACACACACACACAGTTGTCTATGTGGTACAGACCCACACACAGGGTATGAGGCAATTGTCTCCTCAGGCTGTGATCTCACCCCATGCTCACCCCCTGAGAAATGCAAATCTGAAAGAAAAAGAATGCAACTTATGACAAGGTTGACTTTGAATAAGCCCTACTTTTTTTGTTAAGTATTTGCAAACTTCAATATATTACTATTGACAAACTGAGAGCCCTTCAAGGTCACTGCTGCTGTTGGTCTGACACAGAGCAGGCTGCCCATTGGCCTTTGGAGCAGCCTTTCATCCTCACCCAGCTGTCTGGTAGCAAACTCTCACAACTCCAGGACAGGAGGGGTGAGTTGTACATTGTAGGACAAAGGGCTACACCAAGTGAGGGAGACATTGCAGAGAAAAGGTGAAGTCAAACACATACACCAGAAATCACACAATTTCAGCAAGGGCCAGCATGTCTTTTTTCCACTTTTCCTAGAGTTCCTCTTTCCCTTTCCTAACCTTGCACACTGTCCAAAAGTGTGTATACACATAAGGTGCAAACTCCACTAAGGAAACTGTTCTTTCCCACAGGGAACTAAAAGAAAACATACACCTGGAGAAGATGCATAATGGAGCCTTCAGGGGGGCCACAGGGCCCAGCATCTTGTGAGTACGGTGGTGTTGCCTCCCTTTCCCACCCAATGTACCCCGACTGGCCTAGTCAGTGTGCTCAGCCACGTCATGCTCAGCCTCTGCAGCTGAAAAGTCCCAATGTATTTGGGATACCAATAATAAAGCACCACATATTGTCTCAGCTGTGGAGTCTAGAAGTCAAAAGACAAGGTATCAGCAGGTTTGGTTCCTTCTCAGGGCAGTGAGGGAAGAATCTGCCCCAGGCCTCTCTCTTTGCTTCTGGTAGTTCTTTCTGGTTGTGGCAGCATAACTCCACTCTCCCATGGCATTCTGTGTGCATGTGTGAGTGTGACTTCCAATTTCCCCTTTTTGTAAAAAAACAGGCATACTGCATTGGGACTCGGCCTAATGACCTCATTTTACTTTGGTTAGCTCTATAAAGAGCTTATCTCCAAACAAGGTCATATTTGGAGGGACCAGGGTTAAGACCTCAACATATGAATTTGAAGGAACTATAATTCAATCAGTACTACCAAATATGGAGGGTAGTCTCGTGTGTTAGCAGACGGGATGGCTACCTGCCTGGGATCCACTCATGGAATCCAAGGCCAGAATTCTGACTTGTCCTTGGCACTTGGTGTATCACACTCTCAGATGATACAATGACTGAGCCATGCTTCTCAGTTTATAGGAGTTTAGGGTAAGGACATTTGGGAAAATTAGGAGGAAGAGGAAATCGAATCAGTAGTCTGGTGAAGCCTTGAAAAACCTGAAACATCCTACAGAGGAGAATTGCAGCTGCAGGCAGGGTTCAGAGAGACAGGGTTCCAGATGCTCTCCAGTTCTAACACGGGAGATCACTTCACCCTCTCCACAAAGGTGCAGTCCATTACTTCCCATTCTAGTGAGCTGCTATTCATTCAACAAACCCCTCCTGCTCACCAAGCACCAGGATGAAGAGACAGTGTTGAGCAAAACAGCTCTAGTCCCTGTCCTTAAAGAGATTACAGTCACACAGGAAGCGACAATAAAGAGGCAAAGCAATAAATAGGCATGTCATTTTAAAATGTAAAAAGAAAAAAATGTGCTAAAAAGCAGGATAACTTAGTTTATTTGTTGATCCATTCATTCATTTGTTCAACAACTCCTTTATGAGCTCAAATCATGTGCCAGGCATTGGATTACACAACAGGGAAATAGCACAGAATGAGAGAAGACAAACATCTTCTCCTTCATAGAATAGGGAAAAGCAGACATGTAGGAAGCCACATGGTGTCAGTTACAGAGGTGAAAAATTCAGCTAGAGGGCAGGAAAGAAGTTCTTGAGAGGCAGAGTTACCATTTTAAAGAGGATGGCCAAGGAAGAGTACCTGAAAAAGTGTCAGTTGAACAAACATGTATGAAAGGAGTGAGGAAGCAAATTGTGTGAGTATCTGGAAGAAAAACATTTCAGGAGACAAAACAGCAAGAGCAAAGGCCCTGAGGCAGAATCTTGTCTCGTGTGTTTGAAGAATAACAAGGAGGCATGGCAAAGGAGTGAGTAAGGGAACATAAATCAAGAGAGGTGACAAAAAGCAGGGTCACAGGATCTTGTAGCCACTAAAAGGCTTAACCTTGCTCTTAGTGAGATGGGGAGGCTTCATAATTTTGATCAGAAGAAGGACATGAACTGTCCCAGTTATTCTTTATAGGCCAGATCCTGCCAGGATCAGCCCAGGACTCTCTCTATAAACCCCAAACTCTTTTCCACTTCCTACTTCTTTCTGCTGTCAAGTCTAAACACCTACCCATACCTGCTCTACTTTCTATCCAGCCACTGTCTAGCTCCCACAACTACCAATTCCTGGTGTCATCCACTCCTAGCTCCAGTGGCTATTCATTCTGAATCTAATTTCTCCCCCCATCAACCTCTGGCTCTTCCTAACACCCACCACTAAAATTTGGGATTCTTTCTGTTCCCTGACTTTTGCCACGATCAATCCTAACTATTCAACCTCAGGGCTCCCTCTAGCTGGTGCCTCCTGCCTATTGCTTTCTCTGTTGTCTCCCAGCTTCTGGCCACTAGGCCCTAAGAGATCTTTTCTACATGTCCTCATATTAGAAAGACACCAGTCTTGCAGGCTGGCTGAATACTCTCCATCTTACCCACCCCCCACTGGCCACTGGACAGAGTGCTGCTTCTGGATCAGTACAGAACATGACTGTTAGGGTGGATGGAAGAGCCCTGAGTGACAGTCCTGAAGAGCTGCTTGGTGGGCTGCTTAGGAATGACTGTGGGTACTGCAGGTACCTATGCTGTCATTTTTGGAACAGTGGGGCTAGACCTAGGTCTCTTCATTCCCAAGATAGAGTTCTCATTGCACCTCCAAGATTGGGATGGTGTCTAGAAGCATCCTTTCTGCCCCTCAATATTATATTCCCCCTACCCCAATCTGTCACTGAGATTGAAAATCCACTCTCAGAGTTCCTCCTTTGTAATAAGGTCTTGCCATTTCTAAGATCCTAATTTTAAACATATACACTCAAGGAAAAAAAAAAAAAAACAGCAAGTCTGCAAAGAGTTCTGTGCTCAATCCCTAACACAGCTGAAATGTTAACTCTGTAAAGCAGAATGAGAACACTGGTTTACTTAAATCAACCAGGATATAGAAGCAGTAGGAAGTCTGAAGCTCCTGAGGTAAATTCTGCTGTCTATGCCAGTCACATTCCATGTTGTCAAGTTCATGTTCCATCCATCACCTATTGATCCCCTCCCACACACTGGGCACCAAGTACACCTCAGAACAGACTGCTGAGGGGTGCTGTGCTGCTGGAAGTCTCAAGGGGCACCAGTAGCAAGTATTTAGAAGATAAGCAAAATTTTTGAATCCCCACTGACTCCTCTTCTTCCTGATTTTTTACATGTTTGCTATTTTCTTGGACATGTCCTCAAATCTAGTAAAACTGAAGAGTTCAGGTTATTTGCAGAGCCCCAGACTTCCTTCCACACAGCTCTGCTTACGTGGCAGAAGTGTTTGCTTACTTTGGATAGATGCATCCAGCCTGCCATTAGAAAATATTCAGTTTCCCAGGCAGATGATGGTAAATGCCACAAGGCGGCTGTTAATGAGGTAGCCAGCCTAGGTTTCATGAAAACCTCTCCTGCAGGGCTTGATCAATCAAAGGCATCAAAGTCCTGAATATTTACCCCAGGAATGAGCACAAAAGCTGATGTCACTGCATGTGCCCACTCTCTCAGAATGTAAGTAGTTATTTCACTTCTACTAAGTGGAAGAAGGGAGAAAGAGAATGGGAGAAGGGAATCTAGAGAGGGAAGATTCAAGGCAGGTACAAGGAGTTACACTCAATCTTGAAAAGAATAATGGGGTGCACATGGAGGGAAAAAAACCCCAGGGAATGACTTTTTTGAATTCAGATCTTAATGAGGGTAACTAAGAGAAGTAAAGGAAAAACAAAAATGGAGAAAAGAGTTCTAACAACTTAGAATGACAGAGAATTGAGGAGAGGTTTTGTTCTCTGAATAAAATGTATAAAATAAATAAATAAAAACGTTTTCCTTCTTTATTGTTCAGGGATATTTCTTCCACCAAATTACAGGCCCTGCCAAGCTATGGCCTGGAGTCCATTCAGACGCTAATTGCCACATCATCCTATTATCTAAAAAAATTGCCATCGAGAGAAAAATTCACCAATCTCCTGGATGCCACACTGACTTACCCCAGCCACTGCTGTGCTTTTAGGAACTTGCCAACCAAAGAGTAAGTAGGGCTGGGGTTGCAACTCAGAGGTGGAACACTTGCCTAGTACACATGAGGCACTATGTTCGATCCTTAGTACCAACATAAAAATAAATAACTAAAATAAACGTATTGTGTCCATCTACAACTAAAATTTTAAAAAAAAATTTAAAAGTAAAAAACAAAATGTAAAGCCAACCCATGTGGCAGAGACTCAGCTCTCAAGATAGTCAACTAATGGGGATCTCTCTCTACTTTTACTCCCTGCCTTCCAGGCCAATTCCATAATCACGGGGTCACTCTCAGATACAGAAGAAAATGAGCTTCCCTGTTTTCTCACAAAAAATGCTGCCAACCACGCATGGTGGCACACACCAGACAGCATCTTGGTAGGCTGAAGCAGCAGGATCACAAGTTCAAAGCCAGCCTCAGCAACTTAGCAATACCCTGTCTCAAAATAAAAAATAAAAAGGACTGGGAATGGACTGGGAATGTAGCTCAGTGGTTAAACATCCCTGGGTTCAATCCCTGGTACCGAAAAAGAAAAAATAAATAAATAAATAAAAAATAAATAAAAACGTTTTCCTTCTTTATTGTTCAGGGATATTTCTTCCAAATCACGTACTGACCCTGTAACCACAAAACCTCAGTGGTCAATTCTGGGCTATTTGAATGATAGCCTACTTTAGCAATTACAAAATGAAGTATAAAACCAGCACTCAAAGATCAATTAGTTCCAATCCTCATCAGAGAGCATCATCTTTAAAGAAGTGGGGGAAGTAGGCTAAGAGGAGTAAAAATTAGCTAATATCTTATTCTTTAGTAAATATGGACCCAAAAAAAACTATAGAAGGGGTTTTTAAAAGTTATTTCTCACTGAAGAGCATCATTCATTTCAAAAAGAAAGCCAAATTCTCTAAGGATTAACGTAGCATGCAAACAGACAGGGCATGCGCTCCTGGCTAGTTTATGTCCAGTAAACTGCATCTTACTGATTTGGTTCACTCCAGAATTGGGGACAGGATGGTAAGATTTCATTCTCTCCTTTAGAGGGTTGTTTTCCAGATTTTTTTTTTTGACTGAGACTCAGTAAAAAAAATACCTTTTTTACATTGAAGCCAATACACTTATCACATATGTAACTGAAATAAAACAAAGCAAAGCAATATGTAACTTTTAAATATGTGACATATTCTGATACTTTCCAACTTACTCCATTCTATTTCATGTTTGTTTTTACTACCAGTCATGATGCATTCTATTGTTTTCAAGATCCACTAATGGGACACAACTCGCGAGTGTTGGAGGGGGGACCACTCACCTGAAGGATTATTACTGCAGCCTATGAAAATATTCTCAATCAATTAATAAGGCACTGAGACAGTGACACCAGGCTGCTGCTGGTTTTGTTTGGATTCAACTTCTTTATAACTTATTTATAACCAGCATGTATTATGTGTGCTTTGCATAGGTAAACTGAGCTGAGAAGACAAAACACTTGCTGTGTTCAAAGTTATGCACCACTAACTGAGCTTCAACGAACATTAATTGAGCACTTACTGTGTTCTAAACACTGGGCCAGGTCTGAAGATGAAAAGATGAGCAAGAGTTCAGTCCAACTTTCAGAGTATAGGGCAACACACAAATAACCAAATATCTACACAGAATATAGCAGATGTTATAACATAGTTGAGAACAAAGCAGAATGCTCTGGTAGCACAGAAGAACAATTTCTAAATGGTAGCAGGGTTTAAGGAAGGCTTCCTAAGGGAGGTGATTTGTGCTGAGCTGTGGAGAGCAGATGTGGGGGAAAGCATGCCAAGAAGATGGAATTTGTCATATAAAAGTACAAACACATGAGACACTAGATGAATGTCATTCAGAAAAAGCATAACAAGAAGACTTATGGGTGTGTGGAGGAAAATGTGTCAGGAGAGAAGCCATTGAGAATTGGGCCATGATGGGTTCTGAGTGCCAGCCAAAGTTGTCTAGAGGATAGAAGGGCATAAAGAATTTAAAGCAAGATTACTCAAATTTGCTTTCACAAAATATCACCCTGGCAAGGGTGAAGGATGGGCTGAAGGTGACCAAAGCTGGTGAGTGACCAGTTTAGAGAAAATAGAGATGCTGAGGTATGGTAAAGCTGATTCTGGATACCTACACTACGTGGTGTAGAGTCCACATCCCTTCTGAAATTAGTAAACTTTAAAACTTCTATTACAGTAGATGAAAGACACTATTTCTGGTGGGGGGAGGATTGCACAATTATGGACCAGCATCAAGGTAAGATGGGAACGTAGTTACACAGAGATTGTCTTGATTAGAATTACAAGCTTTAACTAACTCCTTCTGTGACCATAAAGCTTAAAGCCTTAGATACCAGTGAGGATGGAGAGCCTCAAGTAGGGCCTATGAGATGTTGGTGCAAACTTTGAGTCATCCCTCTGCCTGGATAACTCACACAGCTGCCTGGGCAGATGGCTCCCAAGACTTCTTTGGTATCTATAATTAAAACTTTAAAGAAGATGGAGTGGACAGTACCTAGTATTATCATTTAAAGACCAAGAACAAGCACATATCTTGTTAACTGTGGATTTGTTTCCACAAGAGAGCTCTCAGTGTCAGATACTCAAAGCCAACATGTGAATACATCCACCATCCCCCACACACACATATTTGATACATTTTAAGAATTTACAATCATAACCCAAAATAACAAGTTGATTAATTTTTGAAAGTCTGGTACATCAAATAATTCTGACATACTCCCCACCTTTCTGCTTTTGTACAAAGTTATTTCTACAAGGAACTGTCTCATTGATATTGCAGAAGAACAACTCATGAGAAATGTCCAGCCTTTCTTGATTAGAATTACAAGGACAGCCTTGTAATTGGATAGCCTTTCTCCTTCTTCCTCAGTGAAAGCTGAGGCTCTTGGAGCCTGCTCTCCTTTCTCCCAACTCTTCATTTTCATCCTGCCGTAGGTTTCATCCCTAGGTAAATACTCCCTTAGGCAAGTTTACACACTTTCTTTGGTTTTCTTGGCATTTATCCCCTTTCCATAAGCTAAACTTCTTAGAGGTGAATATGGAAGCACAGGCAGCATCCACATAGGTTTCTACCCATAAGCAAAAAAAAAAAACTAAAATTCACATTGTACTGTCACGTCAAACATCTTCAAATCCTTACAAGAAGAGTCTCTGTTATAATTCAAAGTCATAAACTCTGAATGATTATTAATCAAGGCCAATATGGACAGGAGAGTTGGTAAGTAGCAAACTTTAATAGACCATCAAGGTAGCTTTTAATAAGCAGTAAAAAAAGAAAACTTGATTCACTATGACAATTTTAAGAGTTTTCATCTCTAGAGCCCACACAAAACATTTAGCATTCAGAAGCATTCTATCTAAACTGGAGGAGCGCTAATGACAACTCAGAAGGCTTTACTCTCTCCTCAGGAAGCATTTCAGTTAGGACAATGGTGCAGAAAATGTCACCTGGTATATTAGGTAAAGAACTTGGATGAACAAAGCATAAATAGACATGATTAGGTTTAGTTTAAAAACCAAAAGCTCAATTGCTTTTTTTTTTTTTACTTCTTCTCTTTCAGACAGAATTTTTCATTTTCCATTTTTGAAAACTTTTCCAAACAATGTGAAAGCACAGTAAGAAAACCAAATAATGAAACACTGTAAGTATTTGCATGCAAAGAAACTCAGGAAGCCATGTCTTACTCTGTGTGCACCTTATTATTATCAGTACCAACGACTTTCTTTTGATAAAAGTATTGGTTAAGATATGTTTGCAAGATATTTTTTAATAGTTTAAAATGGAAAATTCTTTTTGCAAGTAGCATCTAGTTGTACAGGTATCTCAAATGGTTTTTAAGAAGCCTATTTTTAAAATGTACCTGAATGTTCATTCTACATTTAAATTAAAATTTTTAAAAATTAGTTTTATTTTCAGGTGTTTGGATATCACTAAAGGCTGATCTAAATAATAAGTTTCATTTGTAGGAATTTTCAATAGTCACATGGTCAGCATTCCACAAAGGTAAACTGATTGCAGACATAGCTTTTGAAAGTAACCAATTCCTTTCAAAGGGACTTAGGCTACCTTGACCACTATACCCCTAAGCATTAAATTAATCATAATGCCATCACCATCATACACTGGACAGGAGCTACATTTCCATTCTACTAATTTTTAATGTTTTTCCTGCTTAAATACTGGCTGCCTTGGCATTTCACTTTTCTTCAACTGTAAAAGAACACACTTCAAAAGATAATCCCAGTGTCCCTATGCCACATTTAGTGAGATTTAGAAATATTATTAATCCTCCCATGTGTCCTTAGACAAAACCAGGTGCCACTCTAAGAGACCTTGCCAATTTCTATTATTTTTCTCTTCTCTCCTCCACCCTCATTAATCTCTGAGTTACACAGAGGCAGCAGGGCTGTGTGGGGAAGGCCTGAGCTTCAGGATTCCTCAGAGTTTGACAGTAATGTTCCTGCAATGCGGGGGGACTACTGAACAATAAATTTCTTTTTGAGACTTTTGCCCTCATCTATAAGAAGCAGCATAAATATCATTTGGCTTTTAGAACCATAAGAGTGATAAGAGTTGTAAAAGAATGTGATAGCATCAGCATAGGTATTATTCTTATTATTCGCCTCCTTCGTTTCCTTTCATTTGGGTCTGACACTCTGTCCTCCCATGTTCCTTTCCTCCACTGGTCCCTCTCTTCTCAATACCACTCACCTTCCACATGACTCTCTGGCAAACACATGGCTTTATACTCATCAATGGGAAACCATTTCTGGGTTCAGTCAATGGTGGCACAAAGGGATATTTTGTAGGGGGAAGAGAAACTCTAACCCACACTCAATAATCTTCATCATCCCCCACCCCCAAGGTTTCCCAAATAAGCATGCAACCTCAAATTTACTATGCTAATGCTGCTTTAAGACAAATCCCCTAATCTCTAACATCCCCAAAATTACACAAAGTTCATACATAATCTAAGTTAAATGGCTCCCTGTGAAAACATTTTTAATGATAAATCCCCTACCTCCCATTTCCCACCAGAGAGCTAGTCTCTGGGGTCTAAAGCCAGCCACTAAGCCTTATCAGTTCTTCCAAGATAAGATTGGTACTCTCACTGCTGTGGCTGACCCCACTGTCCTAAAATTCCCACCTTTTCCCTTTCTTTCTTAATTGTAACTGGAACAGTGGTGCTACTGTTTCTGCCTCCTCTAACTGGGTCCTTGTGAGCCACTAACATTCCCTGTCATAGCCTCCAGTACTAAGGACAGTTCCCTGCTGGGCTTTTCAATAGGCAACAGGCTTCCCTCAGGAGCCATCCCTGGACATACTTGTTAGTAGCAGCAGGTGGGTATTTGGTTTGAAGACAAATCGCTAAGGAGAAAAACTACTAGACATATGACAGGTAGGGCAAAAGAAGAAAGGACAAAGGACCAAGGAGGAAGGGGGAAGGGAACATGTTGAACCTTTTATTGATTTTAATTTATTCAGAAATCATGCCAGAATTTTTAGAAATTTTAAATTATTTCTTCTAGCAGCTGAAGTAGTTTTGATTAGGGGAAAGGAGTAAAGGCAATCAAGACAGCAAGAGTTGAAACATTTTTACCTGATTTTTGGCCTGTATTTTATATGAATTATCCAAAGAACCTGCTTAAATTGCAGATTTCTGGGCTCCGTCTCTAGAAATTTTGAATCGGGGCTTGCTTGGAGTGAAGCTAGGAATCTGCAGTTTAACAAACGTCCTAGTGAGTCTGATGCAGGTGGTGAGGACCACACTTTGAAAAACACTAACAGATAGTGAGGTATAGAGCAAGGGCCTCTGGACAGTGGATATGGAAACCCCATGCTGCCACGGTCCTCCAGAGGGACCTCGGGTAACTCACTCACTCACTAATAAAATGAAGACTCAATGAGATGGTGTGTAAGGACCTAACACTAATTTTAATAGTTCTTTATAACAATCTTTTCTCTTTAGAGATTAAAAATAATTATGTTTATGCCTGTAATATGAAGAAAAATAAATGTGTTGTTCTTAAAGTTATTTAATAATAAACCAGATAAGGTTTCTGTGCAGCCTTCTGTATAAAGCAGCCCTTCTGTAGTTCCAAACTGGTCTCCATGATATTTTCACAAATTTTCAGAGAACATTTTTTATTTTTTTTTCCTCCTTCAGTATTATATTCCTCAAATATATTATTTCAACCACTCACTAAATTAGACACATACTCCTAATACAGAACATAAGAAGTTCAAAGAGAAAAATACTACTAATTTGAGAGACCCCAAGGTGAAATACATATTTGTAATGGTCTTCACAGAAAAATTACACCTGCTTTTCCAGTTCTCAAGATTATATTAGCAGAGTGTGATCAAAGAAAAGATTTGAGCCCACATGCATCATGCAGGATATGCTCATTGTCCCTGTACCCTATCAATTCCTTTCAGAGCCAGGATTGTTGTGCTTTAGATTTATTCACTCTACATTTATTGAAAGGACACTCTGAGCCAAAACTGTGCTAAACACTGTTATTTCAGAAATAAATAAGACCTGAGTCCCCTGTCTTCTAGAAACTAAGAGACTATTAAAGACAAACATGTATCATCACTTCGTTGCAATGTTTTGATAACTCCAATAGTACTAAGTGCAACCTAGCAGAGAGGAAAGATAATAAACTCCTTGGGGAGGAGAATCAAGAAAGCCATTATAGAGGAACTTGGCTTTAAGAATGAGGAGGAAATCACCAGAGAGGAAAAAAAATTCCAGGCAGAAGAAACAACACATATGAAGACAAAGGAATGAACAATAGAACTGCTTCGTTCAGAGACTTACAAGTAGTCTCATGTGACCAAAAGTGCATGGGAGATTTGCAAGTGATAACTACTGGAATTCCTGGTATTATGTCAATAATTTTTCTAAACATTATACATATCTTAAAGCACTTAATTCTTAGCATATCCCTAACAAAGAAGGTATGATTATTATCTCTATTTGGCAATTGAAGAACTTGGGGCACAGAGATATTAATTAACTTTCTAGGTTGTCTGCAGCCTGGAGGCTGCTATGCCAGGCCTGAACCCTGGCAGTCTCCCTTCAGAGACCATGCTCTGTATTGTACAGCACTTCTGCTTCTCAGAAATGAGACTGAAGAAGTAGGCAGGACCCAACCAAGGAAGTAATTTAGACCCAAACCTTTAAGATAACTTAGAAAAGGTCATTCCAAGAGGAATATACAGGCTTGAATGGGGAGAGCTAAAATTGGAGAAAGGATGTCAAGAAGAAAAGCAATGTAACTGCCCCAAGAGAGAGGATGAAAACATGAGAGGAGTCGCAATGGGGTTGGAATGGAGTGGCAGAAGTAAAACTGTTCCTCCACTAGGAAGAGTCTTTGCCTCATATTCCTAAGAAATGTCTATTTTCATTACTTTTTCCTTTTGTCCATGACTATTCATCCTCTTCTCTTAGGTTTTTTCTATTCCTCATTTTTATTAGCCAGGGACTTAAGGTCAAACAAGTCCACTGGTAGCTGATGATTTTAAAACTGCAAGCCTTCCTATCCCATTTGTGGGCTACTACAAACAAACAGCTTGGTAGCAGTTTGGTTGGCAACTAAATGAGATAAATAGCTAAGAAAATGCCAAGAAAGGATTATTTTAGATTTAGCAAAGTGTATATTATGCCTCTAAATTTGTTTTCCAAAGAAAATCATCCTCTGTAAATAGTTTCATTAAGTCTTTGCATCAATGTCACACACACACACATAAAAAATATAGTCTAATTGGTTTTTCATTCCCTTCTTAAAGAACTCTATCAAATCAGATAATCTAACAAATAAATGTAAGGCTGAGGCTGCTGTGTCTTTTTCTCTTGTTTCTTAGGCTTTAAAAACACAATAAGGATGAATCTTGAACTTTTTTCAATACTCAGAATCATAAAAACATCTCTTAAGTTTACATCAAGCCAATATTGTTCTTACAGTTATTCTGCCATCTTTGCTGAGAGTGAACTGAGTGGCTGGGACTATGATTATGGTTTCTGCTTGCCAAAGACTCTCCGATGTGCTCCTGAACCAGATGCTTTTAACCCCTGTGAAGATATTATGGGCTACGACTTCCTTAGAGTTCTGATTTGGCTGATTAATATTCTGGCCATCATGGGAAACTTGACTGTCCTTTTTGTTCTCCTGACCAGTCGTTACAAACTGACAGTGCCCCGTTTTCTTATGTGCAATCTCTCCTTTGCAGACTTTTGCATGGGGCTCTATCTGCTCCTCATTGCCTCAGTTGATTCCCAGACAAAAGGCCAGTACTATAATCATGCCATAGATTGGCAGACAGGGAGTGGATGTAGTGCTGCTGGCTTTTTCACAGTATTTGCAAGCGAACTTTCAGTCTACACCCTTACAGTCATCACTATAGAAAGATGGCACACCATCACCTATGCTGTTCAGCTGGACCAAAAGCTTCGATTGAGACATGCCATTCCAATTATGCTTGGAGGATGGCTCTTTTCTACTCTGATTGCTATGTTGCCCCTCGTGGGTGTCAGCAATTACATGAAGGTCAGCATCTGCCTCCCCATGGATGTGGAAACCACTCTCTCGCAAGTCTACATATTAACTATCCTGATACTCAACGTGGTAGCCTTCATCATCATTTGTGCTTGTTACATTAAAATTTATTTTGCAGTTCAAAATCCAGAGCTGATGGCTACCAACAAAGATACAAAGATTGCTAAGAAAATGGCAATCCTCATCTTCACTGACTTTACCTGCATGGCACCTATCTCTTTTTTTGCCATCTCAGCTGCCTTCAAAGTTCCTCTTATCACAGTCACCAACTCTAAAGTTTTACTGGTTCTCTTTTATCCTGTCAATTCTTGTGCCAACCCATTTCTATACGCAATTTTCACAAAGGCATTCCGAAGGGATTTCTTTCTGTTGCTGAGCAAATTTGGCTGCTGTAAACATCGGGCTGAACTTTATAGAAGGAAGGAATTTTCTGCTTATACCTCCAACTGCAAAAATGGCTTCCCTGGATCAAATAAGCCTTCTCAGTCGACCTTGAAGTTGTCCACATTCCACTGTCAATACTCAGCTGTCCTAGACAAGACTTGCTACAAAGAGTGTTAACTATTACATCAGTAATTGCATTACTGAACTATACTTAAGTCTGAAAAAAAATTACCTGAACCAGTAATTTTAATATAAAGAGTTGGTTTTAGAAAATTATTTATTCTTAGATATGTTGATCAAAAGACTTTTGCCTAGTTCAAATTGTGATCCATGACCATTGCCAATCTGGGAAATATTTGTCATTGATATGTGATGATATAAAATTCAGAGGCAGCTCAGAAATTTTGTAACAATTTTGACAGAGTGATTAAATTGTTAAACCTAATATTAAGAAAAATCAAGATGGTATTTTACATGTCTTTGATTTTTTTCATTTTAGTCTTTTAATTTTTATTTCACTCTATAAAAACAATAGTGCATAACAGTTTGGAAATTTAAAGTAATTGGTCTTTTTCCCCCCAAATAGTTAGAAAGCCACACTCAAGAGACTGCACTATGCAATCTGCTAGCCACTAGCCATGTGTGGCTAAATTAAGGTTACATGAAAATTGTAGTTTCTCAGTTGCACTAACCACATTTTAAGTGCTTTATGAGCACATCTGACTAGTAATTTCTATACTGGGCAGCACAGATACAAAACATTTTCATCTTCCCAGAAGAGTTTATTTTTTATGGATTTCAAAGTAATTTACAGAAGACTTCAGTACTTGTCAGTCCTAAAATTTCTGCACTCATATTCACAAAAGTTCAGTATTTTTTGTTTTGTTTTTTTTTTTTTAGGTAAAATTCACATATGAATTTTTTAGGTGACATGGACAAATCTTAAATATACCATTTAAAAAGTTTTGGGAAATGCATACAATTCTATGAAGACACAGAACAGTATCACCATCAGAAAGTTCCCCCACCTCCCTTCCCAGTCAGTTCCTCATCCCCTCTCTTAAAGGTACTGATGAATCTGATTTTTATTCCTATAGATTAGTTTTGCCTATTCTAGAACTTCATATAATGGAATCATACAGTTTACGTTCTTGTACATTTCTTCTTTAACCCAACATAATTTTTTTTGCTATTCATTCCTGTTACTGATGAATCAGTTCATTGCTTTTCAATACTTATTAGTATTCTAGTGGCTATGTCAATGGATATCTGGGCTATTTCCAGATTTCAGCTCTTCAAATTTCATTAAATACATATCTAAACATAACTAGACTCAACACATCTAGTTTTCTTTCAATCCTTGTGCTACTACTGTATAATGTGATTCAAATGAAAATTTTAAAAGACTATAAACTTTATAAAATCTCTTCTCTATAATGGGTTTTTCACATTTCTGACTTTTCAACTGCATAACAGTTACTTTATTCAGATGTAGTCCTCTCTCTTGTAAGCTACTGTTTTAGAATTTGTCTCAGCAATATGGCAGAATACCAATTCATCATGTTGCTATTTAACTACATATATACATTTTATTCACAATAAATCCCAGAATCAAAACAACTGAGTGAAAATTTTTAAAAGCAGAAAGCAAAATAATGAAAAATTAAATCTATTCTGGTGGAGAATCTTAATATAACTAACTTCCCCATTGTTAAATAGTTTGAGCCCAAAAAGTCATCATACATATACTCTGAAAATACCTGTAAATTTAAGTTTCAGCTACTAGACTAATATTCAGAGAGCTCCAGAATCCATCCTCAGATCTGCTTACTTTTTCTCCTGTTTTTTTCCACTGTAGCAAATTGTTCCAGTTACTTTTCCTTAGTCATGCCATATATGTATTTATCCCCTATACTTATCACATGAATAATTTATTCCTTATCTGTTCCTCTATCCTGCTTCCTTTAAAGTACCAACTATGGGTTTATCTTCTTTATCAAACTCTCCTTAATCTACTCCCTTGCTAATCCACTATAGTCAAGAACCTCTTATGTGCAATAAAATAGAGTACAAATAATATATATATATATATAAACTACAACAGTCTCTCTCTTTGGACTCCATGGCACTTGCCATCCATATCACTCATTTGCTTCTATCCTATACTGTGTATTACTAATTATGTTTACAAGCCCATCCTTATTTCAACTGTTACAAATTTCATTAGTGATACACTCTTTTACAACTTTGTTTCTCCCACTATATTTATCCTTCAACTACTCTGCGAAGCCTTACACAGAGTAGTTGATTGAATTTTTTCTTCTTTGTGGTGTTAGGGATTGGATCCAAGGTTGTGCTCATGTTAAGCAGATGCTTTACCAATGAGCTACTCACCCAGATTAATAATTTTTTAAGATGATTCACTTTTGTAACTGAATATAAAACTGTCCTTGTCAAGAAGCATTTCTTGTATGTGATAGTCCCATAGACAGTGTGTGTATTCTTATGCTGTATAATCTCTCAAACCTAAATCATAGAAAAAATCAGATGCTTAATGGATTTATATTTCTGCCTTGAATTTTTTATGATGTTGAATATTATTATTGTTAGGTTGTAAAATGGCTAAAAAGGGTTAATCAATTTTGAATAAATCATGTAAAGTTATAAATAGCTTTAAAATGTATTGGTGTTTTGTATTCCATTTATTACATTTGTTGTAAAGGGTCTGTTTTTAGCTTCTTCAAGAATGTAAATTAAGGGCTGGTGTTGTGGCTCAGTGGTAGAGCACGTGCAAGGCTCTGGGTTTGATCCTCAGCACCACTTAAAGATAAATAAATAAAATAAAGGTATTGTGTCCAACTACAACTAAAAAAATAAATATTAAAAAATGTAAATTAAGAATCTCATAATGATTTCAATAAATGTGTTCGTAATTAGAAATAATCTTTTCTTCAAAGTATCCCCACTGTTTTCACTTTCCATAGTTTCAGCTATCCATAATCAACCACAGGCAAAAAATATAAAGTGAAAAATTCCAGAAATGAAAATTTCACATGTTTTAAATTGTGTGCTGTGGTGAAATCTCATATCATACTCAATCCCACCCATTTGAATCATTCTTTTATCCAGAATATCCACACTGAACACCCCACATACCATTGTTATTTAGTAGCAGTCTGGATTATCAGTTTGAGTGGCATGACATCACAAGTCCTATGTTCAAGTAAACCTTTTTTTATTTAATGATGACCCCAAAATGCAAAAATTGTGATACGAAGGAGACACCAGAATATAAAATATAAAAGGAAAGATTAACTTAGATGTTACACGGCAACAATGAACAACACATAGGGATAAAAACAGTTTATACAGGGTTTTGTACTATCTGCAGTTTTAAGCATCCACTGGGGGTCTTGAAACATATTCCCTATGCATAAGATAGAAGTACTCTAATTTTAATTAACGTATTTTTCCCTAAGAGTTATTGCCATAGGCTTCCAACTTACCATTTAACTTTCTAGTTATAAAACACAAAGTTCCCACCTTGCCTAGAGTATATTTACATGGAAAACAGCATAATATTAACCCACTAGCATAAATCAAATAAAATCCTCTATTAAATCCCCTGCCTACTGTCCCAATTAACTGTTGCTGTTTGTTATGATTTGCATGTAAGGTGTCCCTCAAAAGCTCATGTGTTAGACAATGAAAGATACTTCAGAGGAAAAAATGATTGGGTTGTGAAAGTCTTAACCCAATCAGTGAATTAATCCCCTGTAGGGATTAACTGAGTGGTAACTGGAGTGGTAAAATGTGGCTGGAGAAGGTGGGAATTAGGATGTGGCTATGGGATATATATTCTGTATCTCGAGAGTGGAGTCTCTCTCTCTGCTTCTTGATCACCATAATATGAGCTGAATCCCTCTGCCACACACTCTGCCATGATGTTCAGCCTCATCTCGAGCCCCAAGAAATAGAGCCAGCCCTCTATGGACTAAAACCTCTGAAACCGTGAGCCCTCAAATAAACTCTTCCTCCTCTAATTGTGCTGGTCAGGTCCTTTAGTCATGACAATGAAAAAGCTGACTAAAACACTATTCATTCTATAGTTATTATTTTCCAACACAATATAAATGATTTAAACTGAGTACAGCAGTTAGAATTAGAATCCTAATGCTGTATGAAGTCTGAGCTGTAGATGATTATTTATACATATTATAGCACTGACTGGGGTATTCTGCACATTGAATAAAATAGATAAAGGAAGCAAGGTCAGTTAGTCAGTCCAAGAGACTAATTCTATGCAAAATCAACAAGATCTTCTTGGTCTACAGGGAGATAGAAAGTATGTTAAGAAATCACCATAGGATGCTGAGTATGAGAAAAATATTTGAGAAATTCTCAAAGTGTACTGGCACAGGAATTAGATACATGATACTTTCACAAACCTCCTTTAACATAGCAAACTGTAACCTCTACAAAAGACACTTTACTTATAAAAAGTAAAAGACAACATTTACCAAGGCACTGTCTTTATAAGAACTTAGAAACTAACTTTATAGTATTTGGTTATAAAATACAATAAGAAATGTTTACCTTGGACATGATGCAGAGGTTCCTAAAATTCATATAATAGCAAAGTGAAGTCTCAGATAAAATCTGGAGATTTATCTCACATTATCTTTACCACAAAGGTTAAAAATCTTTCTCATATGTGTAAGTTTAAAAAAAAAAAAAAAAAAAAAAAGGCCAACCTGAATGTGGAGTAGTGATTATTAGAGGTTGATAAGCAAGCAGGGCAGGGGAGGGGGATACAGGGAGGGTGAATTTGATCACTTCACACTGTATGCATATACTGAAATAGCACACTAAACCCTATTAATAGGCATAATTAATACATCTTAATCAAAAATGCAATAAAATACTAGATGAATTTGTTAAGAACTGAATCCTCTATATTATCATATTCATACTGAATAATAAAGATATGATTGTCAGCGTGCCAAAAAAAAGGTTTTTAACTGCAAGTAATGAGACCAACTTTGCTGGGAGCCATTAGCCAAGTAGGTATGACAATTTCCTTGCCAGCGTACCCCATGTTGCTGACATGTTGCAGTGACATTGAATGTAGGTGACCTTGCTCAAGGACCAAGGCAGATTAGGGTGTTCCCGGTTTTAAGATAATCGTGTTTAGGGCGTTCCCAGTTTAGGTTCCAGGTTTAAGGTTTAAGATTATTCCTGCTGGGAATAGGGCGTATCCTGCTGCCCAAGTTCCCCTTGAGTTCTCACGGGATTCAGACAGTATATTTTGGAGATAGAAGCCCAGTGGGAGTGGATTTGGGAAGAGAACGTGAATTTGGGCAGAGAAGGTGGATTTGGGCAGAGAACGTGGATTTGGGGCAGAGACGGCTGGTGTGAGTTCGGGAATAAAGAGTTGCTGTTTGAATCTACAAGCTGTGTGGTGGCTCGTGATTGTGTGCCCAGCCAGACTGCGGCATTTGTGCCCAGCCAGACTGCGGCAAACTTGGTTGAGATCATCAGGTTTAAAAAAAAGGCAGAATGGAATCAGCTAATGTAGAAGGCCATCATGCTAAAGGCAATCATGATTTTCTGAAACTTGTTTCATTTGTGTCATGAGTGTCAATATGCATTCAAATATATATTGTGTTGTCAAAGTGCATTTCTTAGTGTGGATCCTGGCCAAAAAAAAAATTGCAAATCACTGGTTTAGATAACTTCTCAAGAATTAGAAGTCTTTTTAACATTATCTGAGCTAATAAATGGGTATGAGATCAAAAACAATTTGGTGAAATCCTAATTTTTTCTAGTCACTACCAAAATTATCACCAGTTATATTATCATGCAAGGATATTTATTATTGGACTTTGTTTTGTGGTAAGCCTACTTTTAAATTGATTTTTTTTTTTCATTTTTAAAAGATGAGGGGCATGAAGACATGCAGAGACACAAATGGGACTACTATGACTTTTTTTTTTCCTAATAATACAATGTGCTACATAAAGAAGACTGATACAATAGTACTTACAATGTACTATTTTAAAAAATAACTGAAGCAAAGTGAAATTTTAAATCCTAGTTCCTGGGTAGGATATCTTGTCAATTAACCTAGGGCTTAATTTACAATAAGGTTTGCCTAGAGAAAATACAGAGTGACCAGGTGGGCCTAGGAAGAAGAAAACAAAAAGAGTAGAAAGTAAACTACTCCAATCTAACAATTGATATTGACTTTATATGAAGGGGCACTGGAATATGATTTAAATTTTACTTCAAAAAAGAAATATGACAAGGGGGCTGGGGCTGTAGCTCAGTGGCAGAGCGCTTGCCTAGCAAGTGTGAGACACTGAGTTTGATCCTCAGTACCACATAAAAATAAATAATCTGTCCATCTACAACTACAAAAAAAGAAAAAAGAGAAACATGACAGAGCTGTGGGTTATAGCTCAGTGGTAGAGTGCTTGCCTAGTACGTGTGAGGCACTGAGTTCCATCCACGGCACTAAAAAAAAAAGCACTAAATAAAATAAAGGTATTAAAAAAAAAGAAATAAGACATAACAGTATAGATAATAGGGGGGGCATTTTAAAACAAAACAAAATAAATATAAAATTGCATATTTGCATCTGCATCTGAATTAGAAGTTTATTAAATTCCATATAGTGAATTAAAATTTGATCAGCTCTTGATGGACTATATTTAAAATAAAAGGAAGTTTCACAATATGTAATATTGTGATGTTTACAAAACTGATGAACTGAGCTCAGAAAGTTTACCACTCTGCATCACCAATGGCTTTTGCAAATACATAGTCTCTCCCTCCAAAACACATAACACCATCTTTCAAAAAGAATTTCCATTTGTTCTTGCTTCGATGAATCTGGAGGGAGAAAAATAATCTAAATTAATTTTATAAGTGAAAAAATCATTTACATTTCTTTGAAATAGTAAACAGATTTATTCTAACACTAAATAAGAATTTTTTAAAAGTAAGACCTCAAGATAGTTTATTCACTAATTCAACAGATATTTGAATTTCTATATGTCAAATACTATTTGAGGTACTGAAAATACAACCAGTTCTTACATATAAAATATTATTTTAGGCACTAGAGATACTATATCTATATCATATTACAGTCATCCCTCAATATCATTGTATCCTGAGGTATTGGTTCCATAGCCCCCACAGATATGAAAACCTGTGGATGCTTGAATCCCTTATGTAAAATGGTGTATGTGTGTGTGTATGTGTGTGCATGCATGTATGTGTATTTACATATACTGACATGTTTACATATATTTACATATAGCACACACACATAACCTATGCATATCCTTCTATATGTTTTAAATCATCTCTAGACTTTTTTTATGTTAAGGTTACAAACTTATTAGCATGAATAAGGTATAGAATTTGAAAACCTTAGGCTTTGCATTACTTTTATTATCACAGGAGTTACTTCCCCAAAATGTTAATCACAGCTGTATTGAAAGAGTATTTGGGAAATATGGCAATGTGGTTTATATAAGTATACCACATTATAAATCTACTGGAGATCCAAAGGGATTTGCCTTTGTGGAATTTGAAACAAAAGAGCAAGCAGCAAAAGCTATTAAAGTAGGTCCAAACCCAGAAGGCAAAACAGGGAAGAGGAAAAGAAACAGTTCTGAAGATGCAGAGTACTTAGCTCCCAAATTCTTTTTAAAAGGTACAGAAAGCACCTCCATGTTAAAGTGGAAGGGAGTCCACGCATACAAGACTCCTTTGTATCCGAGAATTAAAAGCTTCTAGTACCAATTTCCAAGGAGTTCTGTCCTCATCTTCAGGAGTAGATCTCCAGATTATTTGCATACTTAATACAATGTAAATATTCTTAAGTAGTAATTATACTGTATTGTTTAGGGATTAGAGATGGGGGAAAGGTCTGCAAATGTTTGGTAAAGATGCAATTTTTAAAATATTTTCAATTCACAGTTGATTAAACAGAGGATGAAACTGCAGATATAGAAGGCCTACTATACATGATTTCATATACTATATCTGTAAAAACATACATATACATAATATATATGGAAAATACAGGGGGGAAAAAATCCTGCCTTTGAAGAGTTTACATTTTAATAGAAAGGAGACAGAAATGTAATCTGTAAGTAAATTATATAGAATATTAAAAGGTGATGTGCACTACAAAAAATAAAGTAGGAACCAAAGCACAATCTTAAAAAGGCTAGTCAGAATAGGCTTCACATTAAAGTGATACTTAAGCAACAACTTGAGGAAGGCAAGGGATAAGGCCAGGCAGGTATTGACTCAAGGTCACTCCAGGCAAAAGGCATAGGAGAGAAAGTTGCTGACAAGGGGCATGCCTGAACTGTTCAAGAACACCAAAGAGTCCAACATGTCTGCAAAGGTATAAACAGGGAGGAGGTAGCTAATATTATCAAAAATGAAAAAGTTGTGTTTCAGTGTGAAAAAGAAAGTCACAATAAAGCACCAACCACAGACAGAAGATACATCCTAAAATCTGTTTGGTTCTGTCCGCTGTTCTTCAGATTTAATAAATTAGCCTAGATACAGGTAAAATAAAATGATAAGAAATAATACTACTTTGAGAGGTAAGAAACCATAAAATAATTGCTACCTCTTCATAAACTACAAGTAACTATTCAGAAAATATATGATTTGAGATCAAAGGTAATATTTAAACCTCGTTGTCTGACTATAAATAATCAAGTCTGGGAATAGACAGATATTGTGACTGGTATTCTTGTGCATTTTGTGAAGTATAAGAAAATGCAAAGGATAAATCCCTGTTTATGTGTTTAAAATGCCCTAATAATGTAAACTTTTTTTCTGAGTTTGATTCCCAAATTTTCTCTTGCACATCTTTAAAATCCCTTTGAAATACAACAGGGACAACAGAATCCTGAATTCAGCACAGGTGAGAAAATATGACCAGAATTAGAAGAACAATTGCAGCAATTTGTCCTACAATTTCAATATAGTTTAAATTAGGTATTTATTAATCTAAAAAAAATTACTTGACCTAGGGTGACAAATCATTATCATTTCCAGTGATATTGAAAATGCATTTGAGAATACTCATGTATTTAGGGTATTTTTAATCCCCAAAAAAATGAATCATTTGTTTTTTGTCCTATACACATACAGCTGGGAAAACCTTAAAAGTATTTCCATGAAAGTCAGGACATACACAAGATTATCTACCACTATTCAACTTTTAAACACTTTAAAGGTACTAGCTAATACAGACAAGTGTAAACTACAATTGATATTAACCAATGCAATAAGATAAAATAGAGATATAAAAACTGGAAAAATTTAATAAATTTGCAGATGTATGTCAAAACTCCAAGATAATCAATGAAAAAATACTAAATAGGAACTCAGGTTGGATACAAAATTAGCACACCGAAATCTATAGCCTTCATGCATATAAACAAAAGAAGACACAGAGGAAGAGCCTAATAACCACATAAATCAAAGAAATAAAATAATTAGGAATAAAGAAGAAATATTTGATTTGTTGGCAGCATTCAATACTCTCTTCTTTGAATTGTTCTCACTTGGTTTCTAAAACATTCTGGTTTTTCATCCAACTCCCCAACATCATAACTCTGACCACTCCTTAGTTTCCTTTACTGATCCCTCCAATCTCTCTCTTACTTCTCAATTTTAGAGTATACCAGAACCCTTATTTCTGCTTATATTTATTCTTGGTAATACTAATCTCATGACTTTAAACACCATCTATATGTTGATGACAAAATTTATATCTCTAGCTCATACTTATTCCCTTAAGTCCTGATTCTCAATCAATTAATTCCACATCTCCTAAATGTCAAGTGGACACCTGAAGCAAATTTAAAACTAGAATAACTTTTTCTCCCCAAGTCTTCCCCCATCTCAATGGGAAATGGCCAGGTAAAAAAAAATTCTTCAATATTCTTTATGCCTCCTAGTCATACCCCATTCCTAGATCTACCAGTGCATGTTAGTTCTACCTACAAAGGATATTCATATTTCAGCTACTTCTACCACCTCCAATAGTATCACTCTTGTTTAAGCCTCTATTTTCTTTTGCCTAGACAATACATAAACTTGTAACTAGTTTCCCCATTTTTACACTTGCATCCCCACTTTTTAGTCTAATATGAATGTGGTAGCCTGAGGGGTTCTCCTAAAAATGTAATTTAATATCATTTCTCAGCTCAAAACTCTCCAATGCTTCTCATCCAAAAATTAAAGTTTTTACAATGGATGCAAAATCTCTCACTTCCCCTCCCTTACCATTCTGGACTCCTTTCTGTTCCCAGAACACAAAGGTATTCCTACCTCAGGACTTTTACATTTGTTCCCTCTGTTGGAAATGTTTTTACCCAAATACTTTAACAATTCACTCCCTTACCTCTTTCTGATCCCTAGCCTATTATATTTTCAGTAAGGCTGTCCCTAGAAACTCTATCTAAAATTGCAACCCATTTCTCCCCAACATCATTAAAATATCAGATTTTGTGATTTAATGTTATCTCATTGAAAGTAATGATTAGGTTTTATTTTGAACTGGTCAAGTTGATTCTGAGTTAATGCTGAAAAATAGACAATTATACCCAGGAAAAAACATATCAATAAACAATTACTAACCTACCGAATATTTAAAAATCTCAATGTAATACAAGACTAAGGATAGATAAACCAATAGAACAAAATAGAAAATTAACTAAATCCAAATACATATCAAAATTTATTAGGTAATAAAGGAATCTTATCAGTATGGACAAAACAGTCTTTTCAATAAATGTTAGGAAAATCAAGTGTTAAAAAAAGTTGAAACCATGTTACTTTATACATCAACACAAATACTAAATGGATCAAGACTTGAATATTAAAAAAGAAATCAAATAAATACTAGAAGAAAACATGAGTGAATCCTTTAAAATACTGAGGTAAGAAAGAAGCTCTCATGACTCAAAATTTAGAAGTCATAAAATTAAAGACTGACAAATTTAATATCTGCACATAAGAAAAGCAATGAGAGCAAATGATTAAGGAAAAATTACTTCCATGTATAACAAAAAGCTAATAATATCTCTCAACATGAATTAGAACTCTTAGAAATCACTGAGTAGAAAACCAATATTTTAATGGTTTAAAAGTTGCTGGGTATGGTGCCACATGCTTATAATCCCAGTGACTAAGAGGTTGAGGCAGGATTCCAAGTTTGAAGCCAGCCTCAGAAACTTAGTGAGACCCTAAGCAACTTAAAGAGGTCCTGTTCTCAAAATAAAATTTAAAAAAATTAAAAAGTCCAGGGATGTAGCTCAATAGTTAAATGTCCCTGGGTTCAATCCCCAGTACCAGGGAAAAAAAAAAGAAATGAAAAAGACAGAAGTGTACTCATTTCAGCAGCACATATATTAAAAAGACAAAAGTTAAGAACAAGGTCACAAAAACTAAATATAAATGGCCCTTAAACACATAGAAAGTTAAAAATTCCTCCAACATACCATTTTCACTTTCCATAGCAATAAAGATCCAAATTTCTTTATCACATTCTATAGGCAATGTGCAGGAAAAACATCACTCTCAAACACTATTTTGGAAATATAAACTGGAACATCCCCTTGGAGAGCACTGTGGCAATAGCTAACCAAATACATTTGTCTTTGACCTAGTTATCCTATTTCTGTACATTTATGTAATAGGTATGTTTATATACATGTGAAATGTCTTATCTATAGAGTAATTCCAAGCAAAAGACTAAAACATAAATATCCATCAGTAAGGAATTAATTAAATAAATTTTAATAACCCTAAAATGGAATATTATACGACTATTAAAATATTAGCATGAA